TTGTTTATTTTTGTGGCTTGATTTTTTGTTGTAATTTTGTTGTTGTTATTTTTGGTTGTTGTATTATTTGTTGTTGCATTACATTTTCGTGTAAATTTGTATTTATTAATTTTTATTTTTATTATTTTTTTTTATTTTTTTATTTTATTTTTTTTAAACAAACTGCCAGTTAACTGCAAGGGTATATTAGCTTCGGCTCCTTCCGAGGTAAACTTTCCTTTCTTGTTTTTTTTTCGTTTTTAATGTCAAGTTTGGTTTGTTGTGTTCGTTTGTCAAACCATCTGTCTAGCCAAAGAGACATTTTTATCTCGGTGGCACTCTGCATATGCTTAACACATTTTCGCGATTGTAGTGGCTGCCGATTTGCGGCCAACTTGTATACAATTTTTATAAAAGCCTCTGGAAACGAGACTCCGGCGCCAGCATAAATTATACACGGATATTTAATTTTGTGTCCTTCTCCCTATTAATTGTGTTAGGCGGTTGGCGCCAACAATCGTACTATATATATATACATATATTCTATACACATTGAAAAAACAACAAAAAAAATCAAAACAAAAGCCGTACAGCTTATTTCCGGGAGCTATTCGAGAGTATCTATTTTCATTCAAATATGTTCTGATTGTGGGCGGAACAATACAATATTGTGATTACATCTGTTTACTAATAAACATTTCCATAATTTATTTAACAAATATATTCTATTGGGGTTCATTGTAACATACTTTTTTTTGGATCTTTAATATGGTTTGAATAATAGCCTCGAATTTCTTATCGTTATTTATCTAATAACCAACAATTTACTAAATTCATTCAAACAAAAATTTGCACATTCATCGACTGCATAATTTAGGAGTTGCCTAATTAAACCACAACTCGCAACTAAAATTTGCGCCCAAAAAGAATGCAAATTAGCCGCAATTATGGTTGTTGCTAATTGAAGCGAAAAGCCCGACCCCACGCAGTTTGTTTGAGAATATTAAAGAGCGCTGGGGCAAGTGTGGCACGTTTTACCTCGGAGTTTTCCATTGAAAAGTAAGCAAATATCTAGTTCACAAACACCACCAGCACAGGCACAGGCACGGGCATATGCATATTCCTGGCCCATTATAACAATTACTTGCACTTGCTCCATCCCTCCTTGGCATGAACCCAACAAAAATATAGACTACTACTAAAATTAACAAAAATAGAGAAAAATGGTGAAAAAAATAAAGAGATGGAGGTGTGGAAAGTTGAGTGAGGCAAGTCAAACACTTGAGTGTGGGGGGCAGGGCGAAGGCGTTAAAACCCGAACACATTTTGTGGGCAATGCGCTTTGCCAAAAGATTGCATGTCAACCTACATGAAGAGAAATTCTATAAAATAAAACGATATTTAACATTAAATAGTAAACATAAATGTTAAATTATACTTAAATATATGTTAATAATACAAAACCACAACTGTCAGCTTAAAAGGCCATACCTAAAAACTATTATTTAAATGAATTCCTTTTTTTCGAGTGGAAATGTCTCCCAGTCCGGCGTACAATGCGGCGTATGTGTAATATCGTGTGGTGCAAGTGCATGTTGACTTTGGCTCACGCATACATATACAAGTGACTGTTGGTGTGTGTGTTAACAAACAATACATATACACTGACCTACATAGACACCCGGCTTGGTTTCTCATTTGAAGCCCGCATTTGTTGCCGCCGCATTTCCTACAATATGTATTTTCCTTACGCAATTTTCCTTTTTCTCGTTTTTTTGGGCTCCTTTCCTTTTATTTGGAATTTTCCAGCCCGATGGAGGTCAGGCCAAAAAACAAGTAAGAGAGAAAACCAAGCGGCAGCAGGCCTCAGTATTTAGTTAATGGAAATTATTAAAAATGGAAACTTTGCCGGCCATAACTCAAATGAAACGAGAAAAAAGGGCTCACAGCAATTGCAATTTATTTTACCATCACACACTTTTCAACCAGAAAACCATCCAGTTTGACGGACGAATTCACTGACTTGCAACAAAAACTGATTCATTTTTTATGGTTGTTCCAAAATGAAAGGGAGTTTTTTTCGTTTCAGGCAAATATTTGTGTTTTGGTTTATACTAGGATTGCAGTTTGGAAAAATACTGTTAAAAATGGCGTTGCATTTGTAACAGATAATTTGACCACTTTTTTCCTTTGTTACATTTTTAGTAATTGGTTTTAAATTCATATGCCATTGCTGAGCAGCCTTTTTGAGAATTTGTTTCATTTATCAGATGTATGATGGAATGTCGAATGAAATTCGGTTAATATTTATTTGATTATTATCGATAAACTAACAAATTCATTAAAGATTAATCATGAAAACTGATAGAGAATTTAAAGGAGAATTTCGTGACAACGCTCAAACAGAATCTTTTCATTGGATGACTATTAACATTTTTGGTGCTGCTGTCACTCCAACCAACTAAATTAGCCACATGCCGTAGTCATGGCCTATCCGTGGCTATCGTGAACATATTTTAGCCGAAATTACTTAGAATATTTTCGTGTCTGGCCCCCCATGAAATCAAGCTTCCAGATAGCTATCAAAGGGATGGCTGCCAGGGGATGGTGAGAAAACAAGGACTACAGGACTGAAAATTATCCCCCGAAAAGCTTTTTGAACGTTTTTCGAGGCAATTGCAATTTTTTTGTGGGCGTCGTTGGCGTCGTCTGTGTCGGCTGTCGTAAACCAGGCGTAGGCTATTAATTTTATCACCGGGCCAGGTAGAAAAGTCCTGGACCCAAATCTGGCTGCGGCATGCCGGTGCCAGTCTAAACTCTATAGCCCAACCAACCGGATGGGATGGGTAATTTTAATAAAATTTTCGTACTCGAAGCGTGGAGCTAAAGCTTTTCATAATGTAGATTTTATGCTGATTCAATGTTTTCTTCATTTCTTTCGGCACAGATTGTTGCCGTTTCTAGGCGTGGCGTTAAATTAAGGATCCTGGCTTATATGCCGTAGTCAATTTGTGTAAAATTTTATCAATCGTCGGGGGAGACGGTGGAAGGCCCAACTTACAGCATAAATCTCTTTTAGTACCGCACTTTTCAACTCCAGCGGCAACTGTAGCTCCTATCTACTTTCCCATTGCCCTCGAAAGTTATGAATATTGATAAGGTCGAGCAAGGTGAACCATTTCTAGATGGCTTTTCTGTATGCTTTCGGTTGTAATGTTTCATAAAGAGCCCTGCCAAGATTGAGTTTTCGGCTCATTTGGGATGAGCCTTCACCCTCACCCTTAAAGTTGAGGAAGACAATCTTATCTCACATTCACGTGGGCTGAAAATTGCGTTTAATATTCGTAGTCGTAGAAAATTAGTTTTATGCGCAGAATGTTTCAGGTAAGGTGAAAGGTTGACGGAAGCTGGCACACAGCTTTCCTTTTAATGAAACAAAGGTCGGTCGTCTAAGCAAATTACCAAATGTTGTATGGGTTAATTGAATTGCCCCAACGGCGACGACACGTGTGCCACTGATACGACATTGTGGACCAAAATGGGGGTCTCTTTGAGCCTGGGCTATTAAGAAAGTTAAAATGTTGATGCTAAAAGTTGGCAATTGTTGAAAATGTTTCAAAAGTGGCCAGAAAGTTTGCTTTAAACTTTAAAGCGAAAAAGATAATTAAAAAACGACTGCACTCTCATCCACGCTCCTGCATTTAAGGTCGCAGTATCTATTCATAGTTGACTGCTTTGCCTTTTAATTTCTGTAGCTTTTTGTCCAACTCCAGTAACTCGAGCTACTAAACGATATCAATAAAATGTGTAAAATCATTATACACTATGCGAACCACTCAATTGCATCCGACAACAAACGGCTTCTTTACTTGGTAATTACTTGGATCCATTCCAGATTTCCCCCGTCCTAAAAGCCACTCACTGGCAGTACTTGGGGCAGAGTAAGTCACTTGGCTGTTGAAAAAGGGGCAGCTGCAGCTGCACTTCAACACTTTGGAGGCATGCAAATAATAAAAAAGAACTCCATCCCGCGGAGGAGGCGGGAAAAACAAACAAACATAAAGAACAATTACAGAAAAGCTTATCGGCAATTAAAGAAACGCGCCCCACGGAAGCCGCCCTGCGAATGCAAATTGTGGAAATGAAAATGCCAGCTCCTCACTGGGCAGGTCAGTTCGGTTGAATTGCACTGGGGAGTTCTCGGCAGAATGGCACTCTAATCATTTGCTGGCCAGCGGCCATTAATTGTCGAACAAAATGCTGCACTGTGTTTGGTGGACGTGCGGCACATGCAACACATGCGATAATTGTTGCAGTTTTTATGCAATTTAACGCACAATGCTGCTTTTCAATTGTTGCGGCAACAATTTGCAGCTTTATGGCGTAATTTATGCAACATATACGGCAGCCCGGCAGTCCGTCGGTTGGGCGATGTGACATGTCTGATGACAATTTGAATTAAGTGTAGTTAATGTTGACAAACGTCTGTCCGTCCGGCCTGGGAACAATGTTGTCCCCACCAACTCACATCCCCCACGCTGGGAGTTCACTGGACCAACACGATAGTTGGGACTAATATCTATATGCATGTATATGTAAAGCCACCATAGCCCACCCCTATTTCCCAGAGAACACCCCCTTCGCGCTGGGAAGACGGTGGGGACATGCCGAAGTGCCACTTGCCCGGAGCTGGCAGCCAAACATGATTGATGAATGCTCTGGATTCCGGACAGGGAGTGCGAGATTAAGATAATCGGCATTTGTGTAATACAATTTCCTCTGTTTGACAGTATACGGGTTAAGTGAATCCAGAGACCAGCAATATCTTGATAAATTTAATAAATTTTAATAAAGCCAAAAATTTACGAGTTACTAAGCTCTCGAACCAGAGCTGGACCACAGAGCTCAGAAAGCAATCCTCACTTTACGGCCCACAACCACTTTAATCGGTTCAATTAGCTTCACTTCATTGGAGATTTAGTTCGACTTAATGCATTAAAGCTTAAAAGCCATTTCATCGATAATAGGTTTAGTAAACCATTTCATTAACGTTTGAAACAAAATGAGGACTTCAGCGCTGGCTTTGCTCTCAATAATTGGTGTCCTGTTGAAAGTGAATGCATTAAAGGGTGATTATTTATTCTATTGTTGATTATTGACTTTGTTTTTTTCTTAAATAGAGTGCCCTCTGAACGAAATATACGGTTGTAAGCATTGTTTCGAGCCATCCTGCCATCATCTTTTGTTCAATGACGAGCCTTGTGACATGACTTGTGTAATGGGCTGTCGCTGTAAGTTTGGATTTGTTCGAAATAATGGAGACTGTGTAACGATGGATAAGTGCGACTTTGGCGATTAGTTGATAGAAGTAGTCTCTTATTAGAAATTCTAAATCTAAAACTAGCACACCCCTATTTCTTGGAGAGGCTCGACCTCAAAGAACGATGAATAAACAGAAATCGATATTTCCTTCCTGATTTAACACCTTTCTATTGTCATTGTGGCAGCTGTTTGTCCTTCGTGGTTGCATTTTCAGGTAAATGTTGGGTGTATGTAGGCACTCCGCACACAACCGGGCCAGCAGGACAGAAACACAAAAGAACACCGCAAAGAGGGCCAAGAAAATCAATAGAAACAAAGCCCAAGTCCTGGCAGACCTGGCAGTGTGTGAGTGCTGCTAACAATGGCCACGTACCACAGGACATAAGCAGATCTTATCCGGGACCTGAGAGCCCAGCCCAGCGTGTTAATAGATATTGGGCAGGTTGTTTGTTGTCCCTTGCTCGGAGGACAGGAAATCAGAGCGTGACTGAAATGTTCAAGTACTATTTTCAATTCTTTCAACGAAAATTCTTCAAAGAATATTAACCATTGGATGTGTGTAGCCCCCCCTGGATGGCATCCACTTGTTTATTTTTTGTGAATCAAAGTTGTTAATTTTATTGAATATTTCCGTATGTTGGCGGCATACACAATGCCCACTGTTATGAATTTATTTTGAAAAAGGGTCAAAACGAAAATGTTGGGAATGGTCCGTGCATGTGAATGAGCAAATAGTTCTCAATTGCTTTTGGCCTTTGTTCAATTTAAAATGTGCCACTTAAATGGAGTTCCTCTCGAAGCCCATCGCCTCCTGCGGGTTGTCTATTTTTGTGGCCCACCAAAAGTGCATTGACATTGCTAAATTCATTGGCAGTCCATGCCAATTTTAATTCTTCTTTTTCTGTCGTTGTCGTTGTCGATGGCAATGTTGTGTTGCCTCTTTACTTTTTTGTATTTTTTATTTTTTCTTTTTTAGTCCAACCCGCATTCGTTCAGCTCTCAAGTGACGACAAACGACCGAATGCCAAATGCCAGGCCAGGCCAGGCCAAAGCCAGAGCCAGAGTCAACGGAGTCAGCTTCACTCTTCGTTCCACTAAACTGCCTCAAATGCCGCGTGACGCATAGAGACGATTTAATTCTTCTGCCCCTCTCGCTGAAATACTCTTTCGAGGGTAACGTTTCCAGTCAGTTGGGACTAGGAAGCATTTCGAATTCAAAGTATTTTTTAGTTTCAAATTCTATTAGAGTTTGTTGCCTCAAATGTTGATTATATTTTTTTTCAACTTTAAACATGCGACTTCAGGGTATATTCTAGCTTGTTTGTAGTTTTGAAAAACTTTCTTTTTTTTTTGTTCTCTGGGGCTTTGTATATATTTAACATATTTTGCATGTTTCCTGCGGGGCCTCCAAAGCCCGCCGCTGGGCCGCCCATTTGTCCAGCTGCGTCGCTTTCTTCTATCCCCTAAACCCCATTTTGATGTCCATGCCCCCAGCCCATCTCAGTCTCCATTTCCATTTCCAGTTCGAGTTACACCAGCACGCATTTTAAACTAAAACGGCAGCAGCAACAAATACAGCTGAATTGCATTCATATTCATGTGACAATTTGCATGAGATACAATGAGGCCATAATATGAGCACAAGTCACCGCACAACTTTTTTTCTACTCTTCTGCTGAAAATGCAATTTTTTTCTAATTTATGTTCGCATTTAAATATAACAAAAAAGGAGAGACAACTTTACTGAATGGGCAAGACTTTTTGGCATCAATGCCAGAACATTTTTTTGCAGATTAAGAAGAAACTTGTTTGTTGGGGAAGTGACTAAAATAATAATTGTATCAGCAAACAAAAAATAGAGACCAGAAAACAATAATCTTTATTTAGAAGGGCGATAAACAAAGAACTTACTTGTTGTATTACTCTGTATTATTACAAAACTTGAATGAATCTCTAGCCACAAACTATATAATCCCATGAATAACTATAATGTATTCTTTAGAATAAAGAGTAAGCCAAACAAAGAGGAGATGGACCGGCTTCCGTTTGGTCTCAAATGCATTTCTGTGATCCCATGTGCGGTCCATGTTCGCCGGGTTTCGGTTTCCATTCCCTTCGATTTTGTCAACATATGTTCAACATAATCACAAACAAGCTAGGGTATTACTTTAACACAAACATCATCGAAGTAGGAAAGAAAAAACAGATCCCAGATTCGAGAAAAGGAAGTTGAAAGGAGTTTGCTCGAAATTCAATTTTGTGCATTCGAAATTTAATTTGAGACGATTCGATGAGTTGAAATGAGTATCTTGTGCACATACTCCGGCTCGGATGATGGTGTCTTTTGTTTTCCTATTGTTATCGGCTACTTGAGCGGCTTATGCTAAATAGACAGACACATTTTTGTAACAATTCCACTCGAGGGCCTCCAAGTATGTGTGGCATTTCGAAGCCGATTGTCTAAGTGGCCATTCGTTATGGGGCGTCGAAAGTTGGCTGCACTTTTTGAAGTTCTGATGATGAATTGTGTTTGAGGTCGGGGCCAGACAGAAGCAAACAGCTGCTGATGGGCGCTGTCGGTCAAGATGAAAAGATGAGTAGTCGAGTGGTAAAAGCTATTGAACCATAACAGATGGATAGATTCCCTTTCGGTTTCTGGGTAGCCTTCTTAATGGGAGAAAGGCCTAAATATAAACATGCATCTATTTGGGGAATCTGGGGAAATCGTTTGATATTTCCATATTAATAGCATTCTGTTCACACTATTGACATTTGCGCCACTCCCTCTACCGAGTCCTGGCTGGGTCAGCTCGAGACGATTTCTTGAGACGATTTACGACTTCCGTGAAGCACTTTCAGTGGCCAGTGTGCAATCGGCATTCATGGAGTGCCTCGAATTTAAATATGTGTATACAAATCCTCCTGTCTGGTGCGTGTTTGATATGCAGTTCGTGTCTCGGATGTCTGCATTGATGGAAATTGCAAGAGGAGTTCTATATGGCAGAAAATACAGTCAACCTTCCCTACCTGAACTACTTGATTAAATATTGAAAATTTCTTCTATATATTTTCCAAACCATGTTGGCATTATTGAAGCCGGACTGTAGCCGCTCACACAAATCACAAAAAAGTCTCACATACTTCAAATGTGAACTCAAGGCAAGGAAGTTGGGATAAGAAATGGGTGGATGAGATGAGATGAGTTGGGGTGGCACTGAGATCTTGATGGGGGGTCCAGAATGAAGGGGCAGAAGCTAATCTGATTTATCAGTCTGAAAATAGATTTTGTGAAAAAGATTCCAGCCAATAGCATGAAAGGGAAAATATTCAACAGAATGGGGAATACGTTTTATGTAGCTAGTCTGGCTTGGAAGTAATTGAAATTATCAATAAGGCTGATGGGGTTTGTGCAACATTGGGCCAGTATTTGGGGGGCAACAAAGCTTCCTAATTAATGCCCCCTGAAACACCTTGGCTGGCTGAATTGCCTCAACACTTCACACACACAATACAGTTATTAATTTCAGCTAATTCGTTATGCCCCCACCACCCAATTAATCAAAGACAGAAGACCTTCATAAATCAAAAAACGAAGGAAAAAAATACATCGAGAAATAACGCCCATTAGGGATATCCTTGTTACACATAAACTATATATATATCTTGAGCTCAAGTGCTGGGAAACTGGGAAACATCAAAAACATGTTTCGGTCAATAACAATTTTTTGTTTTTTGTTTCTTATCGTTTTTGTGCCTTTATGGTTTTTTGTTTTTTGGCTTTGTACTTGGCTGTCGCTTCCACTTGAGCAATTAATACGTGAGCAAACTGGAAAATATGTCAGGGGGGGCGGTGGCGTGGGTTGGCTCCCGTCCACCAGAAGCAAGTGCAAAACAATGTTCAAGTAGTTTATTCTTTGCAGAAATCCGCCAAAAAGAAGGCAACCATCATAACATTTAGAGTGTTTGCAACAAAAAAAGTTTAGCTTCTGTTTCCATGTCGTCTGCCAATGGATTATTTTTATCACAATCCCCACACATTAAGAGAAGAAATAAAACCCGGGGGAAGACATAGACAGAAACCATAAAGCGAAACATTTTGCAATTTCGAATCCCAGACACGCCTCTCACATTGTCACACACAACTTGATCTATATATGCGTCTAGTATAGCTTTAGCCAACAAGACAACAACAATAACAATGATTATAATTATCACTGTCATTATCGTGATGATGATGATTGAGTTAGAGGTCTTGAATGAAATATCACGCATAATGAATTGTTCTCTTTCTGCAATGTCTCTGTACTTGGAAAAGTATAACACTGTCGAAAATCTGCTCATATTTCATTCAACCAAGCGGAAATCCTTTATGCCCCACCGCTCACTCGTCGTCACCCACAGCCTCCCCCCTGGGGTGGCATCCCTCTCAACCATCTCCTGTACAGTGTACACCACATCGTATAATAAATACTAACGGTTTCGCCTTTTCCAGCTTTTCCAGCCGGCTCACATTTTTGCAGCTCGTTAAATAGGCGACAGTCGAGTCCCTGTCGCTCTGCCGCTCTGTCCCTGTCTCTTTCTCACCCCCAGCTAGCCGTCTCTTTCTAAGCACTCTGCATTGTTAGCCCGTAGACTTTTTAGTTGCTTGGGTTGGGTTGCATTGTGTGAAAAAGTTTTAATTGGATGCTTATTACACAAATTTGCTCGTTTTCTTTTCTGCTCCACACATTTTCATTTTTTGTTTTTGTTTGTGGTATTTGTATTTTTTAGTTAAAAGTCAAACTGGTGCAGAAAATAGAGAGTTTTTAAGGGTTTATTGGGGATAATAAAGTTTCAGAGAGTACTGACCAACTACGAAATACTGGCCAACATTTTCAATTATTTAAAAAAACAACCCATAAATGGTACGAAATCATTTTATTAAAGTGCTCGCTTTTCATAATTCTGGCCCGAAAATAATCCAATTAGCCGGGAATTAAATGCAGTCGGTTTTGCTGCGAAAAAGGATCCAACAACTGGAATACGCGAACATGACAAAATGATTGCAATTAGAATTACAAAACGCTAATTGCATTTTACAAAATGCTTCAATTGAATTTCTAATTGCCAATTGCAGCGGCACAATGATTCTGCACATAAATGAATAATTCTAAATGGATTGCGAAATGCCGAGAGATGGAAATCAGCCAACGGGCGAGTATGAAACTAAAACTAAAACTGAAGAATGGATAAATTGTAAATTCTGTGGCAGTGGCAGTGGTAGCGGCAGTTCAGCTGTTGCCACTCAGATGACTGTTCAAAAACAATTTAGCCAAAATATTCCGCTCTGATGGAAATAAATCAAAGTATCGGTTTTGGCATCAAAAATTGCGATTTGTGTAGACCACCAGAATCACGAACTATGAAATTAAATACCCCAATAAAATATAGTATATTATGTTAGAAATGGATTTTATTACTATGCAAAAAATATACCGAATGGCAAGCGTTTGATCTTCCCATTTACGAGCCTGCCCTAAAGGCATTAAACCGCCCTGTGTATAGGAGAGAGGCTTTTATCTACCTGCATTGCCGTTTAAGATCATAAACGGCTATCAGTTAACAGCGCTTTCAAAACATCAGGGTCTGCTGTAGGGACTCTATAAAAAAGGTCTCAAATAAAAACCAAGACGACTAAGCAACGCTCTATTAAATATGTATAAACTATGGTATTTGACTTATATCCTTCCTTTTAAGAAAATTAATTGTTATATTAATAAAAACTTTATTTTATTTTATAAATTTAAGAAATCTTCTTCCAAGTTAAACTTAAAACCACCTTATCCAAACACATACCTCACACAATAGAAGGTCGAGACAAAAACCAAACCTGTTTTGGCTCCATGTGCCCCCCCCCAGAGAAGCAGCCAGAAAACCAGAGACTCGACTCTCCAAGCTGGGCTATCAACAAAGTTTTATCACAAAGAAAAGCTAAACCAGTCAACGGGTTTTATTTCGGGACTAATTTGTCGAAGGTTTCGATATTCGATACCCAAACTGATGCATCCTTACGGTTACGAGAAGGACTGGTATCTGGTCAGTGGTATCGGGTCATCTGATTTGGCCAGACTGGAAATTTTTTGATCTTTTGCGCACAAATTAACTTCAAACAGGCGTGAATAATGCCCAGCTGATCTTTTGTTTTTCGGTTTTCGTGTTTTGGGGAATCTGGAAATTCATTTCCAGCCTTAGAGTGCCCACATTAAAGTGCCGCCTGACACGCTTCCCCCGGATTTTATGACATGTGCGGTTTGAGTTATGACCTGGTCTGGCTTTTGCGTTTTTTTTTTTCTCCTCCAGCATGCTAGCTGCTGGCTTTTGTGGCATGTGCGGAGCTTGAATTTCTTTATTCCTCTCCCTTTCCATACATATTTCAGATTTCTGATAGTTTAATTGGTCTGGACTTTATGTATTTTGCGGTTTTTGTTTGCTCTCTCGCCTTAATTCTTGATTTTTTTGCCGACTTGCCACTGGTCTTGGGCGGCGGCGTAATGAAGACGTCACATGGAAGGCATATTAATGCTAATTGATTATGCCAAAGTTCCTGTCCGAGCCAAACTGTGGGAATTTTATCTTGATCGCCGAGAATGTAAGAACATTTATTGAATGAAGCACTTGGCACTTAGGCTTAGGGTGGGCTCATCAACCAACCCACGCAGAGGGCTAGCAACACCACATTAAACAATATATTTCGTTGATAGTGGTATATTAACTCACATAATAAATCGTTTTTACGATCGCAAGCCCAAGACTTTAAGGTAATTGAGACATTTAAGACACAGCAGGGCCCTCAATTCCATAGAAAGCCCCTCGTAGAAACATAAATCTGGGGATCCCTTCCAGAAATTTATGTTGACAAAACTGAGAAATTGTTGTTAAAAATTCTGTATAGGCATGTTTGGAAATCTGTAAGTCCCACACTCAATTAATTTGATTAACACTGCCATAAAAAGTCAAACATAGAATGCAGACTTGACAAACAAAGCTTTGCTAATAAAATATATAAATATATTCAGGGTGTAAACTTTTTATGGGACGCAAGTCAAAGTCGAAGTTTGGCACGATCCACTGGCCGGTAACGATAAGTGTTCTGCAGCTTTAATTGAGACATTAAAATAGTTATAAATACGGCTGCAACTTCGTAGACTGTTCATTCCCCTGTAATTTGGGATATTTATGTGAGTGCCACAAAAAAGTTGTAGAAAAACACACAGATATGTGGAAATGGTGCAATAAAAACTAAAAACAAAACAGTTTCTCTGTGGATTGCGGGCATGAGTGTAAAATTTCCGTAAAACAATTGGAAACAACCAAACGCACAGACAGACTAGTAGACCCGCAGAGTCATAAATAGTTTTCATTTCATTAGCTCGGCTTGTGTGAATTGTTCGAATATGAAAGTTCAAAATGCAAGCGAACTGAAATAATAAACACCCGACTTGTTTATCTGATCGGGAAAGTCGGGAGTGCCATAAGATGTAACTAAACTCATACTTTCATATACGAAAAACGAAAACACACACCTGTAAATGAACTTTGGACGGCGCTATGGATATGGCGTAAACAATTACTGGATCAGGCGTCACAACAGTCAGACACAATCCTCTTACCACAAATAATTTTCCGGCCAAACAACAGACACAATTCAAACACACTCGAGCCACTCAAACCAGCGGCATTTAATTAATGGCTTTTTATAAAGACTGAATAAATATTCAGTGGTCGGATATTTGCATACATTGAAATAAATAAAACCGAATTAGGAAAAAAAACACGAAATTCAGATAAACGTGGCTGGAGACTGGGGCATTCAGTATTCAGAGTAAAAGTCAACGATTTTGTTAATCGTTAAGAGGCTGATAAAGCTTACACATTTCAGGATTCGTAAGATAATATTTACACATATTTTTCACAAAATCATAAAAGATTTCTCTTTCTCTTAATTTATCTCCTTAAAAGGTGGCCCTAATTTATCTCAGTTATGCATCAGATCGGACAGCAGAAGGGCAGTTGGAATAGCCACCGCAATTCGCATAAGAGAGCAATTAAAAATCGTTTTCCATTAATCAAACTAAGTACTATGTCCGAGAATAAAATACTTCCACATCAACTTCCCCTTAGGCGTAGCCAGAAGTAATTTATGTTCACCTTACCTCTTGGCCATGGCCCATTAGGAATACAAATCTGAGTACGCCCCAAGAAGTGTTCCGCCCTCACATCCCCAAATAATAGAATATTATGTCTTTCCTTCATACGGAGACACGCAATGCATGAGTTTCAGTTTCATTCCAGTTAGCTTTCGACGCATTTTTCATTGGAGCATGCCCCTCTCATATGGCCCGAACCAACTAATTAAGCTATTTTTAAATGGCACGCACAGGCCAGTGCTAAATGGGCGTGGTTGTGCCCCAATCGTCAGCATGTCTGGCAAGATCGTGTGCCGTGGCAGCTGGGCTCAATTAATGTCGTACTGTTTGCCATTTCAATTTGCTATCTTTTTCCAATTAAATTTCGCATTCCGCCAAGAAACTTGCCGAAAAAATGACTGAATCTCAATTGGTGGAATAAAAAAAGCTATATACAAAATAAAAAATAGATACAGAATTGTATCTATATCATAAACAGACTGAAATACATATATTTGACATTGAACTCTTTTCGGCATTCACGCCCACTTGACTGGTGCTGAGTTTTATGCACAGCAACAGCTAGACATTTATTTTTTGTTTAATTAAAGATCGCCAAATTAAAATTTAAACATTTTTCATCAGCAGCATATATAGAACTCATCAACGTCGGGGGCATAAATAAATTTGTCTGCCATTCTGTTCGGTTCGGGTCTGATTGCATCCAAGAAGTTACGGCATCTTTCAGCGAATTAATCGAGGCTAATATTAGAGATGACTGGCAGGCGTTAGATTAATTGTTGAATCTACATGGGCCCCAGTACACACTCTTGTGCCAAATTTATGGTAATATTGTGTGGTTTGAGTTTATGCCTCCCTGGGGTAGAATTTAATGTCATCCCATGCCCGTTTTTATGGCCGACGAATGAACTTTACACCTCGGCCATTAAATAACTCATTAAACGCGGGGAGGGAAGCCTTATTAGTCCTACAGATTAGACAAATTTCAATGAAGCACATGGGCCAAAGATTTACGAGTTCGACTGATTATGAATAATGAAGTAAGTGCAAGAATTTTGAACGCAATTTTGGATTTCCCAATCGAACCCCCCAGTGAACAAACGTCTCATTGAGGCCAAAATTCCACAACACCTTGGGGTAAACAATTTGAGAGTTTCGAAGGCGCCAAATCGAAGGGTTGTAAACAAAACAATTTGTGTGTTTGTCTAATTAAAGCTCACAAAAATAGAATGAAAGCAATCTAACCAGATTTCTATATTATGAAGGCGCTTGTAATCCCCTGGGGAAACATGCCGACGCATATTTATTATCAAAAAATGTATAGTATGTGAGTCTGGCGGCTATTGAATTTATTGATGCCCCAACCAAAACGAGTTTTCTGTGGACAAACCTCCCAAAAAAAAGCAATAAATGAATGGCTATTTAAATAAAAACACAAGCAGCAAATATAAAGTATGAAACTCAGCTTTTTGCAAATCGTGCCTAATTTGCATTGGCGCCAAAAGGTCCCAAAGAATTATGTTTTTTTGGCAAAAAATACATGGCATTCGAAATTTATATTCGACGCAATGAGAATTAATTAGCCAGGTTGGAAGCTTACCTGATCTTGGCAAAAGTATCCGAATCCGATGATGCCGGCAATGGCCAGAAAGAGGCAAAACACAATGATTGTTCGTATTTTGGAGCGGGGTTCCATTTTCTTGATTTCATAAACTCCACTGGGTAGCAGTAAGGCAAAATCACTATCGACTTGAACAGAGACGTTCTTATGCATATCCATGGGCATGATCCATTCCCCCCGATCAGTGTCCTTTTTTCAAACCGACTGCTCTATGCCATCACCAACAGGATCGAATCATATTGGGAGTCGCGAGCCGGGAATCGGTGGCAAGGCAGCCTCAATCATACTTCATAGTCGATTCCCCGATAAGAACTCTGGAAGTGGGCCACCGACACAACCATAACAGTCAGCGCGGAAATGTTTATATTTATTTTTTTTTGTTGTTTTACGGTAGCTGAAAAGAGAGAAAAGCTATTTACAAAATTTGTTTCAACGAAAAGCAAATGGAATTAGTTAGACTCGGCCCGATAAGAGAAAATATAATGCATTATGTCTGGCTGTTATCGGACACTTTCCCCCACAGGGCTTTTAAAAAAACACCTCAACAAATCAAGCTATTGGCTGATAAGGAACTGATAGTGAGGCAGCATAGGTGTATATTGGTTTTATATTTAAATTATAATTAGGGAGGACAGGCTACCAATTTTTAGTAGCCACATTTAGGTGGGAAATCTTGAAATGACCGGCACGAGTACGAATAAACACTCACATATATTGCCAAGAACATAAATCAGAGAATGATGACGGCGGATAAACAAGTAAAAATAGATAATAATACGAAAGAAGAGCTATAGATACTCTTTATTATTTTATACTTGAAACATTTATTACAAAAATATCTTAAAAATGTGGGTTATCGGTGCCCTTATCGCATTAAGTTTTATAAATTGATTTAGCACTGATTCAGGGGTTACAACGTAAATAAACAAATAGGATCCCTTGCAGGGAAAGTGTATTTATTTAAAAACCTCCAACTAGTCTGTTTGACGCCCAAGCGGCTACATTCTTGAACAGGTCTGCTACGTAGGCGCTTTCGCCGCACTGCCGCTGCGATGTGCAATTGTAAACAAATTGCAAAGTAGCTTCTTGGCGAAAAACATAAATAATATAAATAAAAAATCGCTGAATGGCGTCGGATGTGGGGAATCATGCTGTGGAGTTGCAACATCATGGCGTTGCTGGTTGCTTTTCCTCCGCACCAGATGCCGATTTGGAGCGTGTGTTCAACCAAATTATTAGTTTCCCCTGTGACGGGGCACTGTGACGTCAGTCTAATGGAAATAATAATAGAATTTAGCCATTTCGATGCAGCAAACAAGGCAAAACAACAAACAAAAATACAAAGAGAGTGGCAGACAGAGCGGGACGGCACGATAACAGCTGTTCGACGGCAAGAGCCAATTTGACAAATTCGCCAATTTACCTTGTTTTTCACTCTTGCACCGTCGCCCCCAAGCAGGCGAGCTGATTTTTCACAATTATTGGGATGGCACAGGTTTATTTGTTTACATTTTTGGGAATTTTCGTTAGTTACACGGTCAGTTAGCGCGCCTTCTGTTTGTGCCACACATTTCGCGACGGAGACCAAAAAGGTCGCTTTTTTCACTTTCACTCGATTTGGGAATCTTTTTTCATAGTTTGGTCAGCACTTGGCACTTTCTGGTTTATAAATTATTTGTTTTTAGCCAGTATTTTAGCGTTTTGCGCGTATTTTGGGGCGATTTTTCGTGCGAGACTCCGCGGAGGCAACGTCCGGCAGGGTTGTTGGAATCAAAATACGCAATCCGAATGCACCTTACGGATTTCCTTACGTTACGAGCCAGTCCAACAGCTGATGAACGCGTTAGGCACAAAATTTCATCGCGCAAAGATACAGGCGGTTAAGATACAGATACATTTTACAATTCTGTTAAAAGTTAACATTTGGTACACCCTGTGCCTCTGTAAACAAATTTGAAGTGTCGAATTATCGATAACTAGCCGGCAATTTTAAATCTGTCTTGGATAATTAATATAACAACATCCTGACAAAATCACTTTTTGATTAAAAAATAGTGGAAAATGCAGAAAAAATGGCCAAATAGAATAGGGCCCAGATGGGCCCCTCCGAAGGCCATATCTTTACCAAAACCCATCCGATTCTTAAACGGAATACCTTAAATTATTTGTAGAAGGATTCTCCATCAATCTGCATCAAAATCTACCAACGAAATATTTTTCCGATTTTTTGTCATATTTTCTGGAGGGTCCCCTTCAAAAATGAGGAATATGTATGGGACCACAATATGGCCACCTCCAAAGGCCATAACTTTTAAAAACCCATTTTTTAAACCATTTTTTTTTTTAATTTTTAAAACCCATCCAATTCTTAAACGGAATACCTTAAATGATTTGTAGAACAATTCTCCATCAATTTGCATCAAAATCTACCAACGAAATATTTTTTCGATTTTTTGTTAAATTTTTTTGGGGATCCACTTCAAAAATGAGGAATATGCATGGAACGACAATCTGGGACCCTCCGCAGGCCATATCTTTACCAAAACCTATCCGATTCTTAAACGGAATACCTTAAATGATTTGTAGAAGGATGCTCCATCAATCTGCATCAAAATCTCACAACGAAATATTTTTTCTTTTTTTTTGTCCAATTTTCTGGAGGGTCCCCTCCAAAAATGAGGAATATGCATGGAACGACAATCTGTGGCCCTCCGAAGTTCATATCTTTACCAAAATTCATCCGATTCTTAAACGTAATACCTTTAATGATTTGTAGAAGGATGCTCCATCAATCTGCATCAAAATCTCACAACGAAATATTTTTTTGATTTTTTGTCATATTTTTTGGAGGGTCCCCTTCAAAAATGAGGAATATGCATGGAACGACTATCTGTGGCCCTCCAAAGTCCATATCTTTTCCAAAACCCATCCGATTCTTAAACGGAATACCTTAAATGATTTGTAGAAGGATTCTCCATCAATCTGCATCAAAATCTACCAACGAAATATTTTTTCGATTTTTTGTTAAATTTTTTTGGGGATCCACTTCAAAAATGAGGAATATGCATGGAACGACAATCTGGGACCCTCCGCAGGCCATATCTTTACCAAAACCTATCCGATTCTTAAGCGGAATACCTTAAATGATTTGTAGAAGGATGCTCCATCAATCTGCATCAAAATCTACCAACGAAATATTTTTTCGATTTTTTGTCAAATTTTCTGGAGGGTCCCCTTCAAAAATGAGGAATATGCATGGAACGACTATCTGTGGCCCTCCGAAGTCCATATCTTTTCCAAAATCCATCCGATTCTTAAACGTAATACCTTTAATGATTTGTAGAAGGATTCTCCATCAATCTGCATCAAAATCTCACAACGAAATATTTTTTTGATTTTTTGTCATATTTTTTGGAGGGTCCCCTTCAAAAATGAGGAATATGCATGGAACGACTATCTGTGGCCCTCCAAAGTCCATATCTTTACCAAAACCCATCCGATTCTTAAACGGAATACTTTAAATGATTTGTAGAAGGATTCTCCGTCAATCTGCATCAAAATCTACCAACGAAATATTTTTTCCATTTTTTGTCAAATTTTCTGGAGGGTCCCCTTCAAAAATGAGGAATATGCATGGAACGACTATCTGTGGCCCTCCGAAGTCCATATCTTTATCAAAACCCATCCGATTCTTAAACGAAATACCTTAAATGATTTGTAGAAGGATTCTCCATCAATCTGCATCAAAATCTACCAACGAAATATTTTTTCGATTTTTTGTTAAATTTTTTTGGGGATCCACTTCAAAAATGAGGAACATGCATGGAACGACAATCTGGGACCCTCCGCAGGCCATATCTTTACCAAAACCTATCCGATTCTTAAACGGAATGCCTTAAATGATTTGTAGAAGGATGCTCCATCAATCTGCATCAAAATCTCACAACGAAATATTTTTTCGTTTTTTTGTCAAATTTTCTGGAGGGTCCCCTTCAAAAATGAGGAATATGCATGGAACGACTATCTGTGGCCCTCCGAAGTCCATATCTTTATCAAAACCCATCCGATTCTTAAACGGAATACCTTAAATGATTTGTAGAAGGATGCTCCATCAATCTGCATCAAAATCTCACAACGAAATATTTTTCGTTTTTTTGTCAAATTTTCTGGAGGGTCCCCTTCAAAAATGAGGAATATGCATGGAACGACTATCTGTGGCCCTCCGAAGTCCATATCTTTACCAAAACCTATCCGATTCTTAAACGGAATGCCTTAAATGATTTGTAGAAGGATGCTCCATCAATCTGCATCAAAATCTCACAACGAAATATTTTTTCGTTTTTTTGTCAAATTTTCTGGAGGGTCCCCTCCAAAAATGAGGAATATGCATGGAACGACAATCTGTGGCCCTCCGAAGTTCATATCTTTACCAAAATTCATCCGATTCTTAAACGGAATACCTTAAATGATTTGTAGAAGGATGCTCCATCAATCTGCATCAAAATCTCACAACGAAATATTTTTTTGATTTTTTGTCATATTTTTTGGAGGGTCCCCTTCAAAAATGAGGAATATGCATGGAACGACTATCTGTGGCCCTCCAAAGTCCATATCTTTTCCAAAACCCATCCGATTCTTAAACGGAATACCTTAAATGATTTGTAGAAGGATTCTCCATCAATCTGCATCAAAATCTACCAACGAAATATTTTTTCGATTTTTTGTTAAATTTTTTTGGGGATCCACTTCAAAAATGAGGAATATGCATGGAACGACAATCTGGGACCCTCCGCAGGCCATATCTTTACCAAAACCTATCCGATTCTTAAACGGAATACCTTAAATGATTTGTAGAAGGATGCTCCATCAATCTGCATCAAAATCTACCAACGAAATATTTTTTCGATTTTTTGTCAAATTTTCTGGAGGGTCCCCTTCAAAAATGAGGAATATGCATGGAACGACTATCTGTGGCCCTCCGAAGTCCATATCTTTTCCAAAATCCATCCGATTCTTAAACGTAATACCTTTAATGATTTGTAGAAGGATTCTCCATCAATCTGCATCAAAATCTCACAACGAAATATTTTTTTGATTTTTTGTCATATTTTTTGGAGGGTCCCCTTCAAAAATGAGGAATATGCATGGAACGACTATCTGTGGCCCTCCGAAGTCCATATCTTTATCAAAACCCATCCGATTCTTAAACGGAATACCTTAAATGATTTGTAGAAGGATTCTCCATCAATCTGCATCAAAATCTACCAACGAAATATTTTTTCGATTTTTTGTTAAATTTTTTTGGGGATCCACTTCAAAAATGAGGAATATGCATGGAACGACAATCTGGGACCCTCCGCAGGCCATATCTTTACCAAAACCTATCCGATTCTTAAACGGAATGCCTTAAATGATTTGTAGAAGGATGCTCCATCAATCTGCATCAAAATCTCACAACGAAATATTTTTTCGTTTTTTTGTCAAATTTTCTGGAGGGTCCCCTTCAAAAATGAGGAATATGCATGGAACGACTATCTGTGGCCCTCCGAAGTCCATATCTTTATCAAAACCCATCCGATTCTTAAACGGAATACCTTAAATGATTTGTAGAAGGATTCTCCATCAATCTGCATCAAAATCTACCAACGAAATATTTTTTCGATTTTTTGTCAAATTTTCTGGAGGGTCCCCTTCAAAAATGAGGAATATGCATGGAACGACAATCTGTGACCCTCCGCAGGCCATATCTTTACCAAAACCCATCCGATTCTTCCCAAAACCCATCCGATTCTACAAAACGATTTGTAGACCGATTCTCGATCAATCGGCACCAAAATCTACCAACGAAATATTTTTTCGTTTTTTTTGTCAAATTTTCTGGAGGGTCCCCTTCAAAAATAGTTTAAATGCCTCTGCTGAGGCGATATCTTGGCCAAAACTCAACAAATTCTTGAGCGGAATACCTTAAACAATTTGTAGATAGATTTGTTTTTAATTTCCATTAAAATTTCAGTCAATGTCAGTTCCGTTTCAAAAATTAAGGACTTCCGTATTAAATAATTACAACGATATTATTTATTTCGTAATTAACCGATTTTTCGTTCATTTTATTAGTAAGTTCCAAATGTGTGGGAAAAACTATTAACTTAGGGCTAATATTAATCACAGAACACACGTGCCACGAAAGGGATTTCAACTAGTTAGCTCCACCGCCACCGCCACCTCCCGATGACACTGAGCTGGCATTTCCAGCGCTGGCCGCGAAAAGCTTCCGCAGATTCTGCAAGATTCCCCAGACTACAGTACCCGCAGTTCCCAGAGTCTCAAGGACATCAAATCCCGTGCTATCGATGGCCGTCTCACGGTCCTCCTCCGTTTCGATGGCCGAAGAGCTGGCGTTTCCACTGACATGCGGATGATGGACTCCTTCGTGGCCAACCAGCCGGTGACGATTGGTCTCCACATGGGTGTTGTTAACCCCACCACCGCCAACCGTAGCCAACAGGTGTCTCACCGGTTCCAGAACCGGAATAGCCAGCTTGATGCGGTTCCAGGTATCGGGCGCCTCGGTGGAGCCCTCATGCTGCTCACCGATGGCCATCAGCTCCAGGTCGTCGTCCAGAGTAATTCGCTCAGTGGCCGGATCGTCATCGGTGTCGAAGGACAAATCGACACTGGCATTTGCCTTTTCGGGCAATTTCAACAAACCAAGGAATAACTGTTGGACCTTCACGGAATTACTGGTCTCTGCCTCATTTTGCTCGAAATCGAACTCCTGCCGAGGATAATTATTCTTATTTTGGCTAACGAAGCTGGTGATATGCCGCATCCCATTTCCAGGAGCGGATTCAGCTGGCCTGGCGTAGACTGTTGGCGTCGTCAGAAAAAGCAACCACACGAACTATGGAGAGATGGGAAAAAGAGGGAATATTAATTGGCGCTTAATGACCCGCTGGCCATATGTACGTGCATGAATATTGAATATTCGATCGGAAGATCGAGAAATAATGAGGCTTTCTATATTCAAATCTCACTGTACACGCGCCTCTTAGCCTTGAAATTGTTCTATAAGTTATGACTGACTGTTCGGAATCGAAGATGAATTAATATTTCGCATAGGATTTGTTTTTCCGAATAATATTAAATAATTAATATTACAAGGACAAATTTGTTTTTAAAACTCCTAGTTTTACGTAGTTTAAGCGGAAGGCTTCCATATTTAAAAATGTATATAGTTTTATGAGTCATTGGGCTATTTTTTGTATTTCAAACACAGCTATTGAACTCCGTAAAAATCAGCAATGTCAAATGCTTACGTTCAAGAAGACAAGAAGGCATATGGAACTATATGTGGAACTGGACAAACGCAACATTGTCAATGAAAAAAATCACGGCTCTAGCCCTCGGCTAGAAAACGAAACTTAAATTGAAAATCGAAACCGATACCGAAACCGAAACCGTTGCCAGCAAAAGCAAAAATTGAACTAAGCCAATGAATACTTGGGTGACCAGAGCCCGGCTGAAGGCAGTCGGTCGGTCAATAATGAAATTAATATTCAACTAATGTACTAGCAATTGTAGTACCCAAATTTAAAACATTGTGCATTTATAGAGCCCCGCTCTCTGGGTTTCGAGAAGTATCCCATTAATCATATCTGTATCTCAGGAGGCGAGGATTTTTCAATTTTCAAATTTTCAGAACATAGTAGTCTTTGAGTTTAGAGTTTGATGGAACATTCAATGATTTTGCTCAGTATCTAGGCACCAGTTTGTGTTACAACATTAAATTTTAACCTTTTACATTTTCGACCAAAATTCAAAATTTGTGTAAAATTTCAAGTGAATATTTAGTATGCGGTTATTTGGTAAATTAACACATTTTTTACATGTAAGTACAAGTTTGGTTATCAGCAAATGAAATTAATTTAAATTAGCCCCAAAATTTAATGTATATGATTTTTTTTTTGGTTTGGCTTTCCTAAAATATTGTGTCAAAATTTTGATCTAATAATTTTTCAAATGAAGGAAGCTTTGAGAAGAATTTTATTTTGGAATTAAATTATTTTTCCCAAATTAAATTAAAAATACCAAGTCATAGTAGGCTATACAATTTAAATTTCAAGTGTCATCAGATTCTATTGAAACTATTCAGTATAAATTCCGGCCCACATCTCACACTACTCTTTTTTCCTAAAACAAATATTAAAATAAATTATTTGATGTTTTCCTTTTCGATAAAGTAAACAAAATTTTAGTTAATACAATTGAAACGTACAATGCCCGGGATATTTGGCAGCAGTCCAACTAATCGCCTCGGGCCGCATCTCCTGCAGATATCGCGGTGTTTAAGCTACCATGTCCCGCTCTTCCGGCCACGTAATATCCAGCAGTCACGCAAGCTAAGCCAGCTATGCTGCAGTGCTTTCGCGCGATCCCGATCTGGTGCCTGCAATCCTGCCTGTAACCGTGTACAGCCGTATTCCCAGAAGGGCAGCAGTGTGTTTAGCCACAACGACAATGTGGACATGTTACGTAAAAGAGTCAGCTTCTCTGGAGCATCGGAGTCGAACAAACAGCTCCTACCAGTGGGGTTGCTTACTCCAGAATCAGAGAGCGGCAAGGAGTTGAAGATTGTGATTGTGCCACTGGACCTGTCCAGCATGGATGCTGTTACGTTGAAGGAGACCCTAGAGACTATCAACCAACTGCGCCTCTACGCACACCACATCGAAGCTTTCTCCAACACCATGATCGAGGAGTACAACGCCTTAAGTGATGCAATGCAGGAGGTGGAGGAAACTAGTTCGGAGCTAGCCGAGGTACAGCAACAACTAGAGCGGGCAAGGCAGGAGATATCCAGTGAGAATAAACAGTTTTGGGAATCATTCAGCACACCGTCCATGCCAGCGGCCGATGTGGACGCCGTCTCCGGGCTAAGCCTAGGCGGCAGTAAACCTATGGAGACACGGCAGGAGGCAGTCAGCAGCTGTCTTCAGGCCGGGTTGGCTCAGACGGCACCAGTGACTGCGGCTCCCAGTTCTACCTCCACCATGCTGCAACCGAAGCCCTCCACAAATGCTACGGTTCCACAACCACCTCGAAATCCCATTCAATTTGCTGCTTTCGATGCAAACCTGAAAGATCCCCTCTTCGGGGATGATGTTGTGGAGGAGGTGCATGTGGATGTGCCTACGGAGCTGGGCCAACGGCTTAATGAGTTGGCCGTCTCCTCAATGGAGCTGTCCTTCGAGATGGACATGACCAATCTGAAGGACGCACTAGCCAATCCGCCCAACGATAGTGGGAACCTTCAAGATCCCATGATTTGTATGCACACAAAGGTGGAACTGGATGCACCCGGAACTGTGCAGAACACCGTGCCTCTCAAGTTCAATGCCCTGATTTCGGGAGTGGTCGAGTTGGATAAAGAGAAGCTGAATGTTAACCAGATCACCGACGAACAGATGCCAGGATTCAATGACGACCTTACTTCGCTGGCCGCCAATCTCTGCAGCACAGCTCTGGAGAAGGGCTTCTCTACGTCCTCTGGAAATCCCCCGGGGCCCTTTATTTCCGACCTCGAGCTGACCAAATCCGAGGAAGCAATGAAAGAAAGGCGCATCGATACGAGTCTGTTGCATCCCGCTGCCCAAATTGGTCATGTGGCTAAAAAAATGTCGGCCATCGTTCCCGACGTTAAAGAGGATGTGAAGGGCAAAGATGGCTGCAAGCATCCGCCCATCAAGCCAAAAAAGAAGTGCCCCGGCAAGTGTCCTTTGATCACTGATCCCTGCAAAGAAGACCCCTGCAAGCGCCCGGACAAGTCCAAGAAGCCAAAAAAGAAGGCTTCCAGCGCCTTAGTGGTAACCGCCCAGGCTGGCTGCGGGAAAAAGAAAAATTCCTGCGGCAAAGGAGGAGGAGGTGGCAAGAAAAGCAACCCATGCGCCAAGAAAGGAGGTGGTGGCAAGAAAAAGAAGCCATGCAACCCGAATGCCAAAGGTAAGAAGAAAACTAAAAAACCTTGCAACAAGAATGCCAAAGGTAAGAAGAAAGGAGGAGGCGGCTGCGGCAAGAAAGGTGGGGATAAGAAAAAGAATCCCTGCGGCAAGAAAGGCGGAGATAAGAAAAAGGATCCCTGCGCCAAGTTGAAGAAGGGAGGTGGCAAGAAGGATCCCTGCGGCAAGAAAGACAAAGGTGGGGATAAGAAGAAAAAGGATCCCTGTGCCAAGTTTAAGAAAGGAGGCAAAGGTGGTAAGAATGATCCCTGCGCCAAGAAAGGAGGCAAAGGCGGTAAGAAGAAGGATCCCTGCGCCAAGTTCAAGAAGGGTGGCAAGGGAGGCAAGGGAGGTGGCTGCAAGAAGTTCTCCACCTATGCACCCAACAAACGCTACCTCTCTACTGCCCTTGGCCAGACTGCTGCTCCGCGAGGACCCCGTTTCCTGGTCTACTCCACCCGTGTGCGTCGCAACTACACTGTCCCCGCCTCAAAGAAAACTCCTTGCCAGTGTCCCATGTGCCAGAAACACAGATTACTGGCCGATTCTGTCGAAGCTCCCGCCCGGTTTGTCATCAATTCCTCCCTGATGCGTCGCCGGTTCGGAAGCCTGAGTGGCATGGACCTGATAAAGCGTTCCTTCTCAAAGAAGAAGAAGAAGGCACCTGGCAAGTGCGGTTCCATGGCGCAAAAGTATCCAAAAAGTCGCGGCAAGGACAAGAAGGAACGAACTGGTCTCCGAACGGACTGCTTTTCCTCCGACGACTCGTGCGGTACCAAGAGCTGCTCCGGAAGATGCGACAAGGTGCCGTTTCCCCGAAAGAAGTGTGACCCCAAAAAGAAGAAAAGGAGCGGCAAAAAGAGCAAAAAGGGTGGAAAGAGCAAAAAGAGTGCGTAATCCTTAAATATCTATATAGTTTACCAAACATTTCACTTCCATGATCCTTGCAGAGTAGGCATATCGCTGGTCAAGGATGCACGCTTGCCCCTGAAGTACTGGTACCAGTGCCAAAGGTCGTTCAGCACGCACTCCGCCTGCCAAATCAAGCCTGAGCCGTTGCTCAACAACAAAGGGTACGCCTTAAGGATTCCGAATCCCTACAAAATTGACATAGTTCCTGTTTCCAAGCCTATCCCAACCGATTTTGGTAAGAATTCAACGCTCATTCAACCATCCATTCTATGCCACTTTCCCCCACTAGATGTCCTGGTTCGAACGGGTTCCGTGGCCATCTCGGGTTCAGACATCCATGTCTATGAAAAGGGCAACAGTATTGTAGAAGCCATTACCCTGGGTCACGATGCCACCGGATATGTGGAAGAGGTAGGACGCTCTGTCCGAAACTTGCGGGTGGGAGATCGCGTAGTCATGGAATCGGCGCTATCCTGCGGCATCTGCGACTTGTGCAAACGGGGCCAGTACAATATGTGTAGCGGCATGGTCTACAATGGATTCATGACAACCTACCAAACCCATCCGGGGGATCTATGCCATCGCTTAGATCCATCCATCAGCATGGACGAGGGCACCCTCGTCCAGACACTGGCCCTGGGCTGCCAGGCTTGCCTCACGGGCAGTGTAACACCCACAAGCAACGTCCTCATCATCGGTGCCTGCCCAACAGCCGTGTCAGCGGGTCTTTGTGCCCGAGCCATGGGCGCCAAGAGTGTGGTTATTGGTGGCTTGAGTGGAAAAGCATTGGAAGCGGTGTCTCGAGATTTTGGTTTCGACACCGTCACCATCGACGAGAGTCGTTTGTTTGGCGAGGTGTTGGAGGCCATGTACTGCAAGTTCCATGACTGGCCCGACCGTGTCATCAATTGCTCCATCTCTGCCCTGACAATGAACCTGGCCGTGATGGCCCTGCAACCCAGTGGTATTTGCGTGCTGGCCGAGTGCGATTCAGAATGCGCCAGCTTCAATGCCCTGGACGTCCTAATGAAGAATATCCGATTGATACCCAGTTTTCGTAGCGCAAATATGTAAGTAGATCTTTCATAGGAAACCGAAAAGTAATCGCATTCCCCCACAGGTATCCAACCGCCCTGCAGCTTATGAAATCGGGTCGAGCTCCCATGAGGCAGCTCATCGCCGGAACCTTCCCAATGAGCCACGCTGAGGAGGCCTTCTGTGCGGCCCTAAAGGAATCCGATGAGGGCCTTGGAAAAGTTATTGTCAACTGTGCCGACGAAACAGGACCCGAGGCGAGAAAAAAGCCAAAATCCTTTCAAAAGTCGTAAAAAATTGTCGTTTTCTTGCTAAATGCCGTGTGTAGGAAACACAAAATAAATACATCTTAGTTTTTGGTTGAAATTCTTTGTTTCTTGTTTTTAGTTTAACAAATAAAACAATTAATTTAATATTGCAACAAAAATCGCTTCGCATTTTACTATGATCGGCGTGACCCAAAAACAATTCATTTGAAAGTGCGCTCTTTTAAATGATACGAACAAATAACAGCTTCCTATAATTTATGAATTCTCTCTGGCTCATAAGTAGTAGATTTATATGTATACATACAATCATATATTTATGTAAATATATTTATAAAAATTATTGTACTTCGCTGCTTACAACAAACTATTTTACAATTTTACAGGAACGGATGTGTTGAAGAAAGCTCACTAAAGGAGTGTGTTGTATGCTAAGGACGTGGAATAAATGTACACAAACAAACAAAATTAAAAACATAAGCTAACAATTATAATAATGCATGCATTCGTTTAATAATTTAATTTAAAGCATTTGACTACACCGCACACTTTGGAACATTGCTTGGATTGAGTATAAATAATAATTAGAGCTAACTAATGAATAGGCAGATTTAAAGAATTGCCATTTCGTTTGTGTGTGAGTGCGAAACTAATTTATGGACTGTTTTGTGGTGCTGCTGTTGCTTTTACTTTTTCTGGTTCTTTTGTTCCCTGGTTTGTTTCGGATGTATTGCCTACCAATTACTATCGCGTGTTTGGCCAACAATAGTCACATATATATGATATATACTAGTAGAATCGTCAGAGTCTAAAAAAAAAAAAAACAACACGCTCTGCCGTTAGAGCATCTGTTTATGAAGGTAGTTTGTCTTTTGGTGTTGTTTCCCTCTCAAAGTTTTTCTTTTCTTATTTGTTACTTTTTTTTCGTTTCCTAATTGTCATGAATCTGCATTTCCAGTTCCACATCCGAGAGATTTATCTGACGCATCGAGTTGATGAACATGTAGCGAGACGTGTAGATGTACAGCCAACGAAACCACTTCATCTGCGACTGATGTTCCATCATAGCACTCCTCACGATTCCTGCCTCCTTCCAACTCAGAATGCACCTGAAGATTAGGGAAAGATTAGATATTGTTAAGAGAGTCAGGAGAGTATGTTTTGGCCTTAATTTCATACCAATGCGTCGACATAAAGCACGTGCACAGCAGGTCGAAGATGGATAGATATTTTCTGACCAGATTGATCGAGTCCAAGGTGTAGAACTTGCAATCTGCGTTGGGAAAACACATAAAAAATGCTCTATACTATAGTGTTAAAGGCTATAAATAGCGGCAGCAACAACGTTCGGCACGCCAATTAACATGCACCCATTGTTTGCATCCGCCACCACCTCCGCCCCCGTGATTCGTTCCTCCCCTCTCACCTTTGGGTAAAAGGTTGGCCAAGCACAGCGAGGCAGCCGCGTAGTACACAGCGCAATGGTTCGGATGCGAGCTGACGCCATCGCGATCGAACGTGAATATCGCCTGGATGCTGAGGCTCTCGACGGCGTGGAGTATAAGGCCGGCTACCGCATCCGGTCGCCAGTCCACATTGGGATCATCCGGCAGGTTGGTGGCGTTCATCAGCACAATGTTCGACTCGGGAATGCCCAGTTTTGAGCAGGAACGCCACAGTTCCTGTCGTCTCACCTTGCCTTGCTGTTCGAAGTTGCCTTAATAACAAATAGAATTTTAAATTAGGAAAGATTTCTCAATTTTCTATATCTTGCAGTTTTTTAAAAGGCCCTTAACAACTATAAGAAAAGTCAAACTAATTTTCTTTTTGATTACGACATGGCTAATAATTGGTAGAGAAAAGAAAGGTTCTTAAGATCTATAAATGACTCGGTTTAAAAATAGTATATTCAAAATTTTGCCAAGTCGTAGCTTTGATATCCAGATCTAACCGGATCAGATGTTAAATATAACACAAATTTTATGTTTTAAATTAAAGATAAAGGATACGGGACGGAGGATTAAACTTCGTTAGTGTTCAGTTGCAATAAGAAATTACGAATTGGCTTTTTAGATACTAGCAGATAGTCTTTTCAGATAGTCTACAAAAGTATGTTATTGGTATTCGGTCTCTTAGTATAATGCTAGTCTCTTAGTCTAAATGTTGGTGAAGACCTGCATGTCTGTTGCTAATGGGATATGCGATTCACAACCCACTTAATGTGGATATTTTCTAAAACCCAGACTGACAAAACAAATTAAATTAACTATTCAGAGTCTCTGCTTGGCTACCAAAATAACCCATTAGGCATATCCATGTTAGGCTCAATTATAGACGTTAATCCTCGATATGGTTGGCTTATAGAGTCTCACCGTTGGACAGACAGAGTATGTACACCTGACAGCCTTGGCGCTGCGTCAGCGAGTAGATGAGCGGACCGAAGAACATGCACTCATCATCCGGGTGGGCGGTGACCAGGAGGACGCGCTCCATGTGCGCCGCTTGGGGCAGCCGGATGCTACGCAGGCTCAGGCCGGACTGCAGAGCCTTTTTGAGGCCTCCCGCCTGTGATTCTGTGGCATTGCTGTGGCGGGAGAGCCAAAAGGTGAGCTTGTAGAGGCCCAGGCATACTAGCAAGTATACCACACATGCGATAACTATGTGCTCCAGCGCTTCGGCGGATGTCGACTTGATACGGCAGTAGATGGCCTGCGGGTCGAGCAGCTGCTCCTGCAATTGCCTCCAAGACGAGGTGGCGGACTCGGTGCTAACGATGCTGGCCACGTACTCGCTCAGCCAGTTAAATCTCATCTCTCATTGCGCGCTGAAAAATTCTTGGCGAAAAATCTTTCACCAAAAATGGACATGCAGCAGGGGCAGGCGGAACAGCCGGAAAATCGAAGAAAACGACGGCCACAGGTTACTATCTCACAAGGGCCACTTTTAATCCTTACTTAGTTGCAGTATAATACTTTAAAACGTTTCGGTTACGTGCCCGCGCGCAGTTTAGATCGTAAAAGTCTGCATTTTATTTCTTTCTTTCGGGGGCAGCAGCTAGCGATGAGCGATTGTAAAGTTGCGTGGCATGTGCGTGAGTCACGATTTTTTCTAAGTTTTTTGATCGCGGTTTTATGATGTTATCAGGTGCCGCTTTTTTTTAACAAAGGTTAAACCATCAAATTAGCACTTCAGTAAAATGATAAACAATTTTGGACTGTTCATCATTATTCGGTATGTCTCCTCCCTATCAGGCAATTGGTATATACTGAAAATCTCAATGGGTACTCCAAAGTCACTATTTTGTCCAGAATTGAATAATTAAATAAACCTAAAAAAAATTGATTTTCCTTTTCTTTAAAATTTTAGTTAATTTCAAAAATTTTAAATATAAAAATGTTTAAAATAAAATCAATTATGAAAAAGTTAAAAATTTTTCTATTTGGCGGCGAATTAAGTGACTTTTTTGAGCACCTCTAGTGCTAACATTGACCACATGGAAAATACCAGAAAAATACCATATAAAATACTAAGGGTTTGCTTCGCCCTCTCTGAATATGTAGTCTGCGGTCTTTTTTATTTTGAATAAAATTTATAGTTACTAATTTCTATGAAATTATATATTTAATTGGGCTTTGACCGACCGACACAAGTGCCCAAGAGACCACCACCCGCTACTCGATCGCCAGAGCAGCGCGGAAAAGCGGAACAGCCAAAAGAGACCAGAACGGCACCAGCGTGCCGCAATTCCCAAAGAGAGTCAAGTCCCCCGACCCGATCGAACAGCGGTGTGCGAGGTGCATGCAGCACGTTGTAATTAGGTTAGCAGCACATAGCAGCATAACATGGCACAGCACCACCAGCAGCAGGGCATGGACTCGGCCTTGTTCGAGCGCCGCCTGCGGCCGGTTTACGGTGAGCTCGGAGTCTTCCTCCCACATATGAAGCAAGGTTGTGAGATCCAAATCAAAATTTTTTCATTTTAGATAACCTGGAGGTTGGCAACAACCGAAAAGCCCTACAGGAGTCGGAAAAGCTTCTTCGTAAGCACCCCACCTTGATCTGTGCCCGTGCCTTGAAAGGATTGTCTCTCCTTAGGCTTGGACGCTATGACGAAAGTCATGGGTGCCTGCAGGCCGTCGCAGAGGAGAAGCCAACGGATGACTCTACGCTACAAGTTTTATCTTTCTGCTACCGGGAAATGGAGCAATGTGCGTGAGGGTAATCGGATATCATGTCTCAGAACAGCATGTCTGAGACGTAAGGGTCTGAGACATTCGTTAGATGAAAGAAAATCTGTGAAATTTATCAGCTCTGTTATTGTGTTTGCTGAGACCCGTGATCGTCACTATTTGCATAGTTATTTGATCTCATTTTATAAGGGGGGAGTCCTATTTACATCTCGAAAAAGAGTGCATATCTTTATAAGTGCTAGAATTAATCTGCTAATAGTAACACGCGTTAATAACTGTACTAACCCAACCCCAATTATTTTTTATGTTTAAGATGGAAGTTGAACTCTGAATAGAGCATTACATAAAATTAAGAAAACAGTATTTTGTAATTTAGTTGCATGACAATGTTGTAAGTTTCCCCATTGCATGTTGTTTTATTTATTCATTACAAATATGTTTTCTGTAAAAATATTGTGATATTTATACATAAATTATAAAATTATTTTTTTATGCTAAATTTATTAAAAGAACTATTTGGTCCTGGAAGGTTGGCTTAAGTAGACTTCTATACATTTTTTTTGTGTCGTTAAAACTTTAAATGGATCGCATGTAAAATTGGTGGGTAAACGTTTTTTTTCTCTTCTTTTAATTTTAAATAATAATTAACTTAGGAAATAATCCTTATTTAATGAAGGAATCATATAAGTTAATTTAACTCAAAAGATGGTTTAATTTAACTTCATTACTTTTTACTATCTTTTAATTTTAATTTTTTAATCATAACCTTAAGACTAAAAGACAAATACCCCACGACTAACCCTTCAGACCCTGTTGAATGACTATGAAAATATGTTTTTATCGATGTAAAAGTTAATTTCTAAGATTCATTGCTAATTTGTTTAAAATCTAACTAACCCCCGTTGTGACGCCCCTGTGAACGCATACGAAGTGCCCACAATTCATATTTTCGTATTTTCTTGGCACGCGTGGCTCGGCAGACTAATTAAAAATGTATTCTCTTGGCCGGACGACGGCGGAAAGTGCGTGCCAACGAACTGAATATTTATATATACTAGTACCTGTGCCCCCGGCAGCTCTAGCTAATTATATATATTTTTCTCCGGTTCATTGCAGTGGACAAGATCGTGGAACTGTACCAGCATGCGGTGAAGCAGAATCCTGGTAATGAGGAGCTGCTCGCCCACCTTTTCATCTCCCATGTTCGCGTAGAGGATTATAAGGCGCAGCAGGCCACTGCCCTGCAACTGTACAAGGCTCAGCCCAAGAACGCCTACTACTTCTGGTCGGTAATTAGTGTGGTCTTCCAAGGTATTCGGGGACCGGAATCGGCGATTCCGGAAAAGAGGAAAATATATTTGGGTCTGGCGCAGCGCATGGTGGACAAGCACATCAAGGAAGGAAAAATGGAGACGGAGCAAGAGGCCTTCCTTTACCTCCACATCCTCAAGCTACAGAGCAAGTTCCGGGAGGCGTGGGAATTCCTCACCGGTGAGCTGTGTGCCAAACTCTACCCCGGCGCTCCAGTCAGTATGAAATTCGAGCTCCTAAAAGAATTAGGAAACTGGAAGGAACTGAATGAACTTCTTATGCAACTACTAGATGCAGAGTGAGTTTAAAAGATGACCTATTATTTTCTGGACATATACAGTACAATATTTTTTGTATGACAGTCGTGATCGTTGGGACTACTACAAGGAGTATATTCAGAGTTCATTTGAATTGCTTAAACTCCCGACCAAGGAGCAGGAAAATGGTGAAAGCGATCCGTTGGCTAGATGCCAACAGTTCCTGCAGCGCATTATCGAGTCTTCGGAGCGGAAGAGAAGGGGGCCATATTTGGCTAGATTGGAATTACACAAACGCATGCGGGCGGATCAACTGCCGGCGGAGCAATTGATTGGCGATTTTGATGAACTGGTCATTGAGTACTTCCAGCTCTTCGGCGACAAGTCGTGCTGCACCCATGACATTGCATTGTTCTTGCCCTCCATCAGCATGAAGCAGCGTCAAGCGCTGGCCAATAAATTGCTGGTGGAGAGCGGTGTCACCTCCAGTGAGCTACCGCAGAATGTAAGTCGTTAGTAATGGTTAAGAAAAATCCTTTTCAAATCAAACTTTATTGTAGAAGGAGCAGATGCAGAAGCACATCTGTGCCCTGCAAATTTCGAGGATGTGTGGCTCACATGAGGAGCTATCTACCGATCACCTGCTGGCCTTTTACACCGCCCTTAAACTTCACTACGAGCATGGTCGGTGCTCGTTCGGCAAACAGTTGTTGGCCACTGAGATGGGACCCTCGGATCCATACGCTCTATTGGCGGCCAACGTAATGTACGACCTCAGCCGGAGGGAAAACAAGTCGGATCATCTATTTGAGGCACTGTGCCTGTTGCAATACGTTCTGAGGAACAGTACCAGCAACTTTCACGTTAAACTGCTCAGCCTTAAAATCTATCATCTATTCGGTTGCCAGGTGGGGGCACAGGAGATGTACGAGTACCTGGACATTAAGCAGATACAGTTAGACTCGATGGGATACGTACACTGCCAGCTTTTGCCTCTGGCCGGAAGATTCTCTGGAAACAGAAGCGTTTATGATGCAACGTTAAAGTTCTTTACCAACAGCTACAAGGAGCGCCTGGAGTATATTGCCCTGACTTACCGGTTTTGCACTTTCTCGAAGATGGAAGAGTTCATGAACTTTAAGGAGCGACTAACCAACAGTCTTCAGTACGTAGCCTGTTCGGTCGAAGCTCAGATCTGTGACTTGGTCAGCTGCTATGGAAATGTCCAGCAAAATCTTAGTACTTATTCCGCGATGAGCATCGAACCAGCCGACGATCGGATAGCCTGGCACGAACTAAGCGATAATCGGGATTTGGAAGCTATCATACGTTGGGATCCGCTGCACCAGGTAGATGCAGGAGAAGAGCGCAAAGAGTCCTTTGACCAGGAGGTAGAGGTACTCCAAGTGCGTTCGCTGATGTTACGCTTGTTGGCCTCCTTTGTAGATTTGTTTCACGGATTCACTGGAAAAGATTTACCTCCTGGTACCTCCGAGACTGCCACGCTGGAACTTCTGCGCGAATCCTGGACCGGATTATTCCAACGTTTGCGACTGATGAGCTACAAGCCTCTGCCACAGAAGTTTCTAGTGAATTTACTTCCGACACGGTTGCTCCTGCTACTCGATCTTCCATATGAGCGCTTTTTCGACGACCTGGCTCAATTGGTTCTCGACTTACATAGTGCATCCGCCCGGTTAGTTGACCAGTGTAAGCGGGTGGGCGATCATGTTGTCGAGATTATGGAGCTCTGCGTGCAAACCATCACCGAGAGCAATGAATGCAACGGCTTGGACGGACTGTGGAGGCGCCGGGAGAAACAGCAAAAAGTTTCCGCATGTCTGGAGGTAAAAAACAGATTTTTTAAATGATTTAAAATTAAGTATTTTTATTTTACCGTCAAGATGCTATCCTTGTACGCCTTTTTGCTGTCTGTGCTGAACGACAAGCTCCAAGCCAGCTCTAAGACTAAGACCAAGAAGAGGTCCACTAGTGGAAAAGAGAATGGACCGCAGCCCATTAGCGAAAAGGAGCGAAGTCAAATGGTTCACGAGCTGATGCGACAACTTAAACACAAGTTGGAAGCCTGCGATGCATCCATACGTGAGTTCGTTTTTCACTTTTAAAACCACTTTTAAATTCAAAACCCAAATCGAACCCAATCCTATTTAGGAAACTGGAAGGCGCCCGTCCTACCCCGCGACCTTAGCTCCTTCATGTCGGACATGTCGCTGAAACCAGAGGTTGAGGCCACGCTAATCGGCGACGTCTCGGCCACGTTCAAGGATTCCCACGAGCTAATGGTTACGGAACTGAGAAATTTGCTGAAGGACAAGATCCGTATGACGGCCAAGTAGAAGCACCTTTGCTGTGCAAAGGCTATCCTCTAATTAGGCAATTATTGCCTACGATCACGATCCGCGTTCATAGTTTGTTATTTAATTTTGTTAATGAATTAATCAACCTCCTCCCGCTATAACTATCTCGAAGTCAAAGCCAAGTCCGCACTTTTCAATCAATTTTTGGCATTTCCCTCGTACAACGTGTAAGTTGTAAACTTTGTAAAACAAAATTTAAGAGAATAAAAAAGATGGTGTACTGCTTGCAAGTAAGTTTCAATAAAAAATGAAATTGTATAAAATTTCACTTAATTTTTGTTTGAAGGATTTATTGCTAATTAAACTTAACTGATATTTCCCACTTTAAGAGTGTTCAGATACGCAGGAGTTCGGGGGTCGTTCAAATGCTGTTGCGTCTGTAGGTGGGCCACTAAGTTGTGATTGCGGGCGAAACTCTTATCACACAGCCTGCAACTGTTTAGTGGTTAATATACCACCATTTATAGTTAATTTATGGATATATTTAATACAGGACCTTTACTTACGTGAATGGTTTGTCCGTGGTGTGTGTTTTGTAATGCACTTTCAGGACGTTGGCATAAGTAAATGTTTTACCGCAGGTATCACAAGCATAAGGACGCTCATTGCGGTGGGTCCTACATAAAAGTTAAATATTATTCTTTGTAACCTTTATATGTATCTACTATATTACCTTTCGTGCTTGACCAAAGATGTGCGATCTGCAAAGCTGCGATTGCAGTATTCACAGGTATACGGCTTTGCTCCAGTGTGCTGGCGAATGTGGCGCATCAATTGGTAGTTTACATGAAACCGTTTATGGCAGATCCTGAAATAATATTAGTTAGCAACAGGTGTACCAAGAAAGAAGTCTTCAAAATTTACTCGCATTCGTAGGGTCGATCATTGTTGTGCCTCCGCATGTGCGTGGCCAAGGTGCTCTTCCTGGGATAACCATTTTTGCATATATCACACACGTACAGCTTTCCGGTTGTCGGAGCCGGTACCGTTTCTACGGCTAAAACTACAGGGATTTCCTTTGGTTCTGGAGATTGCGTTGGAGGAACGGCAGAACCGTCTGGAGTGGAAGAAAGAGGCGGAGCTGGTTCCTCAACCGTTTCTTCAGTGGCCCAAACTTCTTCTTCCAGTACTTCGACCTCTAGCTGTTCATACTGTTCGGTGTCTTGAGGTATCTCCGCCTCAACTCCCAGAGGGCTTGAATCCTTGACGACGTATTCCCTTAGAAACTTATTAGATCTGTGACAAATTTGGCGGAATTTGTGAGCTAGAGTTAGAAAGGCTTTGCATTTCAGACATATTCTAGTGGGAAGATCTTCTTTGCGATTTAACTGGAAATCAAAAACATAAATTAATAGATGTATGTCCTGTTGGGACCGTATTGTCTTACTTGTAGTCCCGTAAAGTCCTCTATTTTCTCGGAGAGGGAGAGTCCATCTTTCTTTTTCTCTTCATCTTCCTCGTAAATGGATATCATTTGGGTCTCACCGTCCTGTAAGCAAGTCCGGCACACGGTTAACATATCCAACTTAAGTTCCATTTAAAATCGTTATAAACAAAACCCCAAACAATGTAACGATCAAAACATTGATGCTTGTTCTTTAATCGCCATTACTTGGCAACCCTGTCATTCACCAAAAACGCTGGACCGATTGGAGATTGCCATTCCCATGGAAAGCGCACAAATTTTAATTTGACAAGTTGTTTAAACAATCTTATGTGAACTGTACCCAGGATATTAAAAGGATGCACGAAGAAATGACCCAAGAGGATCCCCAGTGTCGCATCTGCCTTTTGCATCCCAAGGATGAATCTCTTATGGCCACGGAACCTAATTTCCTGGAGCAGATCCGGAGTTGCACCGGGATTCAGGTAACAATAACTTCATTTATTTTAATTCAATTAATTAATTGACTATTTTTCTTTAAATTATGTATTATAGATGAAGGAAACTTCAAATGGGACTAATCTCATATGCACCAGTTGCGCCTTGCTGCTACGGGCGGCGTTGAAGCTGAGGACTCTTTGCCAAGAGGCGCAAAAGAAGCTAGAGAGACTGAATGAAGAGGAATCTACTATGGTAGATGAGGAAAAGGATAATGTGGGGGATTCTGAAAGTGATGCTATGTTCGAAGAATATGTGGTTACATTGGATGGCACCGAATACTCCTCAGATGTCGATGAAATCATCAGCATTGAACCAGTTGACTCACTGCCTAGTTCGCCTGTTCAGGAGAATCCCTCATCCATGGACGGTGGAGGTTCATCTTCTGAACCAGAAGATAACCCCACTCAAGAGTTACTATTTTCCTGCAATTTATGTCCAAATGTCTATAGTCAGCGGGTCAAGTTGACGGCTCACTTGAAACAACACAACAACGATAAGCCGCATGAGTGCGAGTAAGTTGAGATTACTAACTTCTTAAGTTCACACCTTAAACTTTCTACAATTTGTAACCTACAGAATCTGCCACAAAAGGTTCCGCCAGACTACGCAGCTGGCTAGGCACATGAACTCCCACACCGGCAATCGTCCCTACAAATGTGATTTCTGCGACTCTTGCTTTGGAGATCCCTCCACCCGAATCAAGCACCAAAGGTGAGTACTTGTTGGAGGATATAATTGTATTTAAACCTATTCATATGCATTTCAGGATTCACACAAATGAGAGGCCGTACAAGTGCAAGTTCTGTGCAAAAACGTTTTCTTATTCCAATGTGCTGCGAGTTCACCTAAAGACGCATACGGGAGAACGTCCTTACAGCTGCCAATACTGTCATAAAACATTTTCCCAGCCGCATCATAAAAAATACCATGAAAAGACACACAAGTGAAGGGGAGTACCTGCAATTCCACATAATCATTGTGTCGTCTCTTATGTTTCAATTAAAATTATCTTAAAATCATCGACTATTTTTCCAATAGGTAGTGGGTAAGCAAATTATCTCGTTAAAAAATGGTACAAAGAAGAACAAAGATGTTTTATTATTTGGAAGTTTATTTTCATTACAGATCCTTTAATTTAGGTACACAATAATTCCAAGATCTGTACAAATTATACGTTTGTTACAAAAATATTTTACAATTCTTTATCGGATCGGATGCCAATGCTTTAAGGCTATATATAATAAAACTAGCTGTAAACTAAGTCTGCGGCTTTCTAATTGAAACTTGACTTAACCAAATGCACTTTGGTCTTTATAACTTTTGAAGTGCACTATCTGAGAAACTCTTGCATGTCGCCTTTGACACCTTCTTCCTCAGGTCCGGCGTCCACTTGCAACGTTTTCCAGGGTCCTCTTTTCTCGTGCGTCATGCGATGCAGGCGCATTTTGTATGCCTTCACAAATCCCTTGCCGCAAATATCACAACTGAAAATATCATAAAATTTATAATCAGAAAACTTGGTAGAACTTTCCGTTTCTTACGTATGTGGCTTCTCCCCTGTGTGAATCATTTTGTGGAACTTGAGGTTATCGGAGTAGGTAAAGGTTCTTGAGCATACGTCACACTCGTAAGGGCGTTCCTTAGTGTGTATCCTAGAAGTTGAACAGGGATTATTTGATAACTTAATCTGTTATTCCAATGATAGTCACCTATGGTGCTTAGTCTTGGTAGACCGATCGGCAAAGGCGGCTGGGCAGTAGTTGCATTTGTACGGTCTGTTTCCAGTGTGCGTGTTCATGTGTCTGACCAACTGTTGGTTCTGGACAAAGCCACGTCCACAGATCCTGCGTAGAATTTGATCAGTGAAATAAATAGGTAATCATTTTAGCAATCTTACTCGCATTCATGTGGCTTTATACCAGAGTGGAACTTTAGGTGCTCAGTAAGTCTGGCCTGGGTGGGATATATATTCCCGCAAACGTCGCAGATGAAAGTGCATAGCTTACCGCGCGGCTTTCGGCCCAGTTTCTTGTCAACCGTACTACTTTCCGTAACTGTCCTGTTTTGCTGGGCTCGCTTTTTGGTCTGTCGCGGTCGATTAGTCGTGGCTTTCGGTCTGGCTGTTTCCTCGGTCACCATACTTTGTTCTTCATGTTCCTCCATACTAAGTACATCATCATTGTAATCATTTGAATCGACTTCCTTGATTTTTCTTTTCCGACTGCGAGCTTTACATGTATCCCCTGGCGGCGCGGGGCTATTCTCGGCTGTGACCAACTCAAATTCTTCGTACTCCGCAAAATTCTCCGACTCTGTTTCTTCAGCCACCGTCTGGACAGTCTCATAATCTTCCTCTGCGTGTTCACCGGTAGCATCGAATTCAATCGCGTCCTCCACCACATAGGTGACCAGCTGTTCTGCTGAATGATCCTCTTGCTCCTCCCTCTGTTGGTTCTTTCTTTCCTCTTCAACCTTGACGATGAACTGACTGATGTCTTCTTCCCAGATTTTCAGATCATCGGCTAGGGAAAGACTTTCGTTTTCTACTCCTGAGTTGCTTGCCTCGCGATCTAGCATGTCCATGATTTGCTGGTGGGAGCGCTGACAGGTAAGTCGGAACTTGTAAGCAAAACGTAGACACCGCACACACTTACTACACATCTTGTCCGGAAAGTTGTCATCTTGGCTGACCTAAAACAAGTATTATAACTCAATTGGGATTCTTTATTTTCGGAGAAATTTCCAACTTACCGGAATCCCTGCGCAAATATGCAACATTTGATCCAGGCGCGTACTGGCATTCTGGCTAAATATCTCATGCAGCAACTCCTCGCCATCGCTGGGATTATTGAGGCACACTCGGCAAACTATCCACTTCTCGTTGGACTCTGTTTTCATGGTGAAGACTACAAATAGCCTTTATTGACCCAATGTTTTCCCAAGTGCAACGATTTCCAACAGCTGCAATGCAAGCGTCGGTGACAGTCACAGCGAAGCGCGTAAATCGTGGGTGGAATCAACAGCTATCGCTTATGGCCAATAAAAATATCGGATGTTTTTTTTTTTTTTTTTTTTTTATTTAATATAAAAAAAATTTATTAAATAAAATGAATTGCTTATTACAATGAAGTGACTTAAATAAATAAAAGAAAATTTGCGCCGTCAAGCAATTATCAATCAATTTTTTCCACTTCTAACATCTATTACAAAGTTACATTTCTAACAACTTAAGATTACTTTTAATTAAAAGAACTCTATTAACGTAATTAATGTTATGTTAAATAAATTAAATAACAATTTTTTTATTTTAATATTAATATTCATGTGATACTATCGTAAGTAAATAAACGTTTTTCTTGAGCAGCCCCCTTAACACCGCCATTCACGTTGCAACGCGAACAGCTTGGTTGTGACTACATTATATATTTTGGCGTCGTCTTTCTCCAGTAAGCGTGTTCCGAGAAAAAGCTAAATATTGAGACAGGAGGAAGAGTCATTGGAGATAATGAGAGATCAGGCCCCACAAGCTACACCTGCAGAGGCACCTGCGACTAGGCAGAAGTGGATAGTGTGCCGGGTGTGCCTGCAGCAGCCCAAGGAGCCCATGGCCTGCATTTTCAACGACGAACCGACCAAGGACATGACACAGATGATTATGGAGTGTGGCGGAGTGCCAGTAAGTGTACTCCATATATATCCTGATCCTCTAATACAGTTATATGTTTTGTCAGATTAAAAAATTTGATCACTATCCTGACAAGATTTGTGATAAGTGCTCCCGCGCACTGAAGGTTGCGTTCAAGTTCCGTCAGTCGTGTCAGAACTCTTACAAGCATCTTCGGCAGTTTGTGGCGCCGGTTGAGGATGAACAGGATACTGCCAACAAGGAGGAAGATACAGAAGAGCATGATACACCGGCTGATGAGACGGAGGAGGAACTGGATGAGAGCACCTATGTTGATGGGGAGGGGGAAAACGCGGGAGATGTTGCCGCCACGGAATTCCAGGATGAATTCGAGGAGGAAATCCTCTTGAAACTAGAGAAGGATAACGTCGTCCATTTTAAGAGTGAAAACGTTGAGGAAGATGGCATTATCGAGGAAGTCTACGACGTATACGAGGCTTTTGAGGGGGACATCATAACAGAACAGGCTGTTTTCGATCAGGACTTGGGCGATCAGTCGCTTTCTGGGCTTTCGGCCGATATCGAGTACCTGGACCCGGTAGAACAAGATCAAGATCAGGACCAGGATCAGTTGACTGAAAGCGCCAATGAGGACGAAGAGAAATTTTTCTCTAGCAAACTGGTCAGGAGCGCTGGAACGAATCGAGCAGCCCCCAAGCGTCGCGCCAACAACCGCAACAAGACAAACGACCCATCAGCGTCGCCAGAATCTGCCTCCACCTTGAAATCGAGTGGTCGGGGTAATGCGCTCAAGATCCGCCGCGGAAATAACCACGGGGTTAAGACGGAAGTCGTTGGAGAAGAAGGTATTTCCATTGGGGAGATGATGGCGCGAAAGCACTCCGGAATTAAGACCAAAGGCGGTCACAAAATCATCGTTGGCGATAAAAAGGAATTCAAGTACATATGCGATGTTTGTGGCAATATGTATCCCTCCCAGAGCCGACTTACCGAACACATTAAAGTCCATTCTGGAATAAAACCTCACGAGTGCGAGTAAGTTGCCAGCGGCATGAATTAAATTTGAACTTTTTTGTGACCTGTAACTATTTGTCAGAATCTGCGGTCACTGCTTCGCCCAGGCTCAGCAACTGGCGCGTCACATGAACACGCACACTGGAAATCGACCGTATAAATGTAGCTACTGCCCTGCAGCCTTTGCGGATTTGTCCACCCGCAACAAACACCACAGGTGAGTGAATTCACAACTGAGAAGGCATTCAGATCGCTTCTAAAGTAATCTCTTCTAGAATCCACACCAACGAGCGTCCCTATGAGTGCGACGTGTGCCACAAGACCTTTACATACACCAACACACTTAAGTTCCACAAGATGATTCATACGGGGGAGAAGCCCCATGTGTAAGCATAGTTGAAATATTCTTGAAGACTACCTTAATATTTGACATTTTTCCAGATGTGATGTGTGCGGAAAGGGCTTTCCCCAAGCTTACAAGCTGCGGAACCACAAGGTTATTCATGAGCGACGCAGCGTGCGAGAAGCCGTCGACGGAATGATGCCGTATGATACGGCCAATATAGTGGGTCTAGAGATGTAGAAGTGTCCCTTGCAAAGATTAATACCCCCAAACACACAGAGACACGCGTGTAATTACACATCTAATTATATTGATGATCTTTAAGTCTAGCCTAATTATGCGGAAATAAATTAAGTATAGCTGCACAGACGGTCTTGGCGTCGGTCTCCTCGGGATACAGCTGCAGCACGGCATGGACTTGATGTGGAGGAAAGAGACTGCTTAGGTGGTAGCGCAACAGGCGGCGCTGCTCCTCCCGCGGCAGTTGCTGTGATGCATGAAGTTCCTCGTTAATCCGTGAATCTGAGGCGGACAAGTGTGCGTAGTTGCGAGCGGGCAGTGGTAGAACATGGCCGTGATCCGACACCGGAGCGGATGGTGTGCGCGTCAGATACTGGTGATGATAGCTGGTTAGCTGAACATGTGGCGGCTGCTGGAGCGGCATCAAAAGAGGATAGGTGGGTGGTGGTTGTTGCCGCTGCAGTTTCTTGTGGCGGTTCGGCTGTTGGGACGAATCCACCGCTGAACCTTCGGTTAAATCCATTTGGGCAGAGAATCCCTGACACACTTGCTCTATAGTGTTGGACTTGGTGCGACCCAAAGGCTCTCGGCTGATCAGTGAGTTCATCTTGACACTGTTGTTGTTGTTTCCTATGGGACTGACCATTTGTGGCCCACCATTGCTGTGCAACGGAGCGCTATGGGATGCCTGTAGTGGCAGTCGCTGAAGCAAAGTCCCCTGGTTCTGGTGCCGGAACTTACACTTTTGTCCATAAGTGCACTTTTTCCCGTACGGACATAGCTGCTGGGCATCGGCCATTTTTTGTTGCGTCTGTGAGCAAAGAAATAAATCCAGATTCGGGCCCGATCTGCCCAGCGGATCGTCTGGCGGCATAAATATGTCATTAACAAACGAGTACATCAGAAGGCGCTCCTGCACAACCCGTCGAAACTCATGATTCTCGAGCACCAGGTCTCTGTAGTTGTCGTTGGACACCACAATGCCATCGGTCTCTACGGCCAACTTGAGTATGAATCGATCGTCGTAGCAGGAGACTCGCTTTCCATCCAAATGTCTCGAGGGAGTGAAGACCAGGACTCGCTCATGTTCCAGTTCGTAAAGCAGCTCACGATCTGATATATTATTGTTGGCCAGTTCTTTTCTCCAATTGGGCACAAAGGCAGTGATTTCGCGATGGCCCCGTTGACGGAACCAATCCACGCATATGCGAATGCCTCGGCAGGAGAAGACCAGGTTGTTGCCGTGTGACAGGGCCACATTACTGCCATCGATGACAATGTGGCGCAAGGAACAGGAACCTCCTGAGGCGGGCGAGGAACCAGAAGAGGCGGGGCTGTTACTATTGGGGGCGGGACGCGGAGCATCGGCCGTTAGCTTGATGAGCTCCGCCAGCAGTTCGTTCTGCTTGGCCTCCGAACCCAAACGGGTTAAGGCCGAATGTATCGACTGTTCGCTGTAGCCCAGCTTCTTTGCAAACTCCAGATTCTGTCGCTCTATCCGGCTCACATTTTCATCTTCGTCATCCGAGCAGCTCTCCTGCTTTCTCACTGGTAACTTGTTGCTATTGCTATTCCTACTCAGTTGTTGTTGTTGCTGCTGGTGGTTTTCTAGCTTTTGTTGTTGGTGTGGCTGGTGCTTTTGATGTTTCTGTTGCTCTTGCACTTCGCAGTTCATCTTGGTGCGCATTTATGTGACCAGCGGATGGGCCTCTTTTAGCTGCTCCGTTTCCCTAGTTTACTTTTTCACTTTGCTGTGTTTTTGGCCGTTTCTGCAACAAGTTCCGTCTATTTACATTTACAGACTTCCGTGTTGTTGTTTTTGTTTCTGTTCGCTGGTGGTAAGTGTGACCGGAGTATGAGTTCATTTAAATCTACATTTTTTTTTTAGCTTTTCAACACTAAAGCTGTGGTGCAACATGTTGCAGGTGCACTATGGCAACTTCACAATATCTAACGGAAAGTACCACAATTCTCCATTTGAAAATCCTTATATTTCTGATATTTTGAGCAATTTCGAACAAGGAGAGCTCAGTTCTTGGAATTTCTTTGATGAATAAAAGCTTAAAACAAAAACCGCTTCAAAAAATACTACATTTGCTTTTTATTTCCTTTTTTTTAAATTTTATTCTGCTTAATTTAGGTAACTTCAAAACTTAAAAGATACAAATATTAAACTGAAAAAAAAAACAGAGAAAAAATAATTCTAAGATTCGAACCTTTATAAATTTGCATTACAATTATTTTAAGCTTTAACAGTTTTTACAAAGAGGATTATCCGAATCTTGGGTTTAATATTTAGCTTAAACTTACCTTTTTCTATTGCGTTTAAGGTCCAACAATTAAACAAAATTTTCATTCAGTTTGAATAACATGCATAAACATTTCTTTATTGTAGTGTATTGTACATAAAGTATAGTATATCGAATATAGTTTTAACAATTTTCACACTACTATCAACATTTATAGATCTCACTTAGTGTTTGGTATTTAATTTAATTATTTAAAATAAAGTACACGTTTTCCGCATTTTATTCTTTGTTTCATAGTTGTACGTTTGGTCCCTCTTTTCATGACAAAAAAGAGTGCACTGCCTTCGAATTAGCTACAAGTTCAATAGGTTACTAGGGTATAAGTGGTCACATCTATCTCGGATACATAGATTTCTAAACGCTACGCTGAAGTGAAATTGATTAAATGCATATACAATACACATAGATTTCATTCCCTTCCAGCGGTAATAAAGTAATTTCATTAAATTTATTTCATCCTGGACATATTCTTTATATCCCTTATATCTTTGGCCAAGTCATGTGGCAATTAGTGAGACAGCTGTACTAAAAAAAAGAAAATAAAACTATAAAAATGGACGTAAAGTTTACTACGTGTTCGGTGTGTATCTGAGTTCGTTTAAAAAGCTACGAGTCATTCATTTCGCACGCAGCTTCAGTGAGTCTCCCTCCAAGGATAGGGATGCATTTTGAGTGGCGAATCCTTTCCCCCAATTCCTGATATTATCCCTGACTCAGACACACGACAAGTGCTAAAATTTGTGTTCCCGCGTGTTCATCCAATCTTTTTTTTTATTATGGCGGTCGTAAAATTTATTGTTGCTCTTTGAGCGTGTCGGAGTTTTAATGCTGGGATTTCCTTTCTTAACGGATAATTAGTAAAGTTTTTTTCTTAGCCATTGTTTGGGATGCACTATTAAAATTCGTTTCGGTGGTCGGGTGTCGAGTTAACTTTTTACTGCTGTTTGTGGTCATAGTGTGTTGTAAAATGAAAAAAATATTTGGCATGAATCAAAAACAACTTTTGTAAAGAAACGCAAAAAACAAATAAAAAGTTAGCAACCGACAACTAGGGAATATTTAATAAAACTCATAAATCATAAAAATTATCCTATCCAGATCCAAAACGGCTAAGACGCATTTTCCATGTCAATGGACCCATTTAGTCATAAGTAATTCGTCTGGTGCCGTACTGGCATTAAATCAAACAGTATTTGCTCTCCACGTGGTTGCCAGGCAATTGATGAGCTCTCATCATGGTCTGCCAATTTGTCAAACGATAATTTCTGCTCCAACGAACTTTGTCATTTATCAGTTGTTTAATTTTTAAAAGCATTTCGAGAGGATAAAACACGCCCGATCCCCACGCTCTACCTATCTAAAAATCGAGGTGTTTGTTTGCTCTCAGGCCTCTTGATGGCCAAAAAAAAGAGGAAAATCCTAAAAAAAAGGAAACACAAAATGCCTCCAAACCGATGACGGAGGTTGTCTAAGCTGATTAACATTGAGCTCTCGACACATTCTGAAAAGTAGGATGTGTGTGTTTGTTTGTTTTATTTTTCGGGACGTTGAGCCTGATATACGTTTGTATTCAATAGATATTTTTGGGCTGTCGGGCCATCAGCCTGAGATGAGCTTTAATTTATGCCCACAGCTTTCTTCTATAGCTCGTTTTCCACTAAAGGTCCAAGTCCTTTAAATGTGGTCCATTTTGCTCTAATTTAATGTGAGCCTTTCTGGCCTTTATCTCCGGTTTGGAATCGCTTAGCTGCCACGGAATCGTTGTGCGATTTCTTTTATTGTTCCTCTACGCTTTGTTCGTGTTCAGTGCACCCAGTTTCCGTTACTGTTTTTATTATTACAGCCTCGAGCCACGCTCCTTGGACAGACAAAAAGGGCCAACAAAAAAAGGGATATAAGAAAAGTCACTCACTAGCTGGGTCTGTCTCTGTCCCTGTCCGTTGGTTGGTTAAATGCTCCCACGCTGTCAATATTCGAAATTGGAGGATATGTATGCATGTATGCACACATGGAGAAAAAACTATAATGATTTTCAAAACTATAAATTTTGATAATATTCATAAATAATAAAACTATTAAAGCTTATTCCCTAAAATTAGGTAACAAATATCAATAGTTTAATGTCCTGTCTGTGTATCTTGGCAGAGGAACTTTAATATTTCGCATAGTGCACTTATGAACAATATATGCGGGATTGGGGGGTAACCATATCGACACAGCGCACTTGCAAAAGAAACACTGAGTATTCCTTTTGCAGCCATTATTCTGTGGTGTGAGGTTTCGTTTTGGGGCTTTCCTTTTTTTCATATTATTTCTCTCCGCTGGTTTGACAAACAAAAGGTTGTTGCATGGTGGAATTGAATTGCATTTTAAATTGAAATGCCTTGGAGTGGCATAAAACTGAGAATTTATAGAGCTCGTAAAAACTCTATTCTGCCAGAGTCTCCCAAAATAGTGCATTTTATAAAAAAGGAGCTGTTGAAATTGTTTCTTTCATTTGTGGCCATAATGCGAACTCCTTTAGTCAACGAGCTCTAAAAATTGCAAAATGGAGAGCGCCTAATTGGCCAGACAAAATGTCAAGTGGCAGTGGGAACCACTGTGCACAGTGGTGGCCCTACCAAGCTTCCGTTTCCGCTGAATCCTGTCACTTGAGAAAATGCAACTACGAGGAAAACCAGCAGAAATGGAGAAGCGTTTAAACAGCACAAATTCCACTGCTTTCCGATTTGTATACGTGTTCCGTGCTCGTGAGTTGAGAAAGTCTGTGTTACGGCGGCAACTCAGTGTGGGGGTGTTTGGAGGATGAATGGGGCGGATGCAGCCACTCTTGGTTATTTTTGTTGGCCAACTAAATCGTCAACGTCAACATTGTCGCAGACCGTGTTGACATTTAGCCTTGCAGAGCTCCCGCTGCAAAAAGAAAAAGTAAACATAGAATAAAAGAATGCAGTTTCCCATTCTTCACAACCGGAAACCCTTTAGGCGTGGATACAATATCAGGGACGAATCTAAGTGCTATTTTTTCTATCATTTTTTTTTTTTAAATCTTCATTGTAATGGAAAAAAACGTATTGAATACCCAACGAACTTGTGACCTGCATTGTATGAAATGAATCTATTCTTTTTCATTCATCACTCATACGCAGTGTGGTACAGCACCATACACCATACCACAGGAGTTTGATTAAAATTTTATTAAATGTTATGTATTAAAGCTAAAATAAAGCTAAAAAAGCTGTAACCCGAATTTTGTAATACGTCTCTGTATAAAAACTCAACTTTCCCTGAAATTACTCATACGCAATGTGGCACAGGAAAAGGTAAAAAGCCCCTCTTGTGATTAAAACAAAGGAAAAAGAGAAAATGAAGCAAAGGAACCGCCACATCCCAGTTGTCCAGTTTCCCGGAAGGATGTCCTTTAGGCGTTGATGTAGTACTCCCGCTTCTTTTGGCACTTCTCGTACGCAATGTAGCACAGGGCGATGGTAATGAGCACCAATATGGTAATCCCCATTATGATGCTGACCAGTATAATCTCATCGTTGATGCTCTTGTACGAGTGACCTGCAAAACAAGCAAAAAAACAGAGAAAAGATTTAGGACCTGCCTTGACAAATTACCGGCAATTATTCTTGTCAGGTGGGTGAAGAGCAAAAAAGGAAGTGGGAATTGTTGAATATGGGTTTCCTGCTGGTGTTCGTCAATCAACATTTTGGTTTGTTAGGGATCCATGCATATTCAGGCGACAAAAACAAAACAAAGGCAACACAAATACAGTCAGCCAAGCTATGACAAATGCATTGTTGTAAAAAAGAATAAACGATGGCCATATGCCACAAGCGAGGCAATCTGGTTGAAAAACCCACGCAATCTGCCGTGGCATATGGAAAAGAGACATAAAAATTAGTAATAAACAAAAATAAAATGGAAATTGGATTTGCAATTCGCATTTTAATGACAGCTGTTTCAATATTTTACGGCATTCCCACATACATTCACATGTATCACGCATTTGGATTATTATTAATGCAATTATCAGCTAAATGAAATTCATGGAACACATGTATGATGCTGGATTATCGTGTAATCTTGATTTACAACTAACCTTAATAGCTGGAAATGGGTTAATTGGCAACGCAACATGTATGCACCAATTAACGTGACTTGTTAACCTCATTATAACAAACAAAGGAAATTAAGCAGGATTAGTTGGCAGCGAAACGGAGATGAAATCATATTCAAACACAATTTAAAAGTTGTTTGCAAAAATTTTTGGCGTAACCCGAACCACTTTTGCAAATAGGCGCCCTTTGTTCGGCTCCATTTGGGCCACATGTTAGCTATATGGGTAATTTAACACATAATCGATGGAGCATTCACTCGCTTTCAGCACTTAACACACATCAAACATATTAAATCTTGTTTACAGGCAGCCGGAGCGACGCCGCCGCAGATTTGTTAATTAGAAGGCTCGCATTTCGAAGCCCCAAAGCTAAATGGCCCATAGTCCCATCGGATGGATCTCCATAAATCTGCAATGGGGCTTATATACGTATGTATATATGTGTACAATGTGAGAGGTTAATGCAACTGATGGCTGGTATTGAGGCGTTGAGTGTTCTCAATGGTTCATGGACATTCGGTCCAGATAAATAGGCAATCATTTCGATTGCTTGTGGCACCTCACCTTCTGGCTGGCCCATAAAATTTAAATATGTAGGTGCTGCGAATTCTGTTCCAAAATGCTGGCTCATAAAACGGCACGATTTATGGCAAGTTTTCCTGTCTCTCATATTTGAGTTACCTGAGGGATTTTGTGTGGGCATAATATAGAAAAGGCTTTCAAAACATATCTATTTAGTAAATAGTATTTATTTAAAGCCCGAAAAGCTTTTTGTATGTTTAATGCCAGCACTGGGATAAGTACACAATTAAATTCAAAAGACAACCAAAACAATTCTAAAGAGATATCCATACAATAGTAAATATGGTATGAAAATGGTTTCATTAGCTATTTTAGCATTCCTAAAGAACATTCTAATGACATTTAAGTGCGGTCAAAGTTTTGTGGTTCTTGCAATATAAACACTTCTTGTCCAACAATTCCAAGTTGTATTTTCGGGACCACAAATTCAAAATTGCTTAAAACATCAAAAGCGCAATAAAACTTTTAGGAAACTTAAGGCCAAATTGTGGGGAAGCTGGAGGAGTTCATGGTTAGACAACTGGCATGTGAAATAATAATTCCTAGAGGAGCCTATCCAAGACGTCTGACAAAGTTCGGGGCTGTCAAAACGTAAATTATGAAAGCGTGAAATATGCAAAGCAAATGCACGAAACGAACGCCTCCGACACACAAATTGAAATCCGAAATGGAAACTGTCTGGGCCGAAGGGCATGGACTGAACTAAACTGAGCGTAAATTGTTAAGGTTTTCGACTGGCTAAGCCTAACAATTTTCGGAACGTAGCCCAAGGACACATGTCCTTTTCGTTGATATGTATTAAATTTCATTTATTGTTTTCTTTACCCAAAAATACAGTCAATAAAGTCATTTGACAGATTATGTGAATAGACACAGCCAAAACACAAAAAAAAAAAATAACGAAAAATGAACCAACCCAAAACAAAATACAAAAAGGAAGACAGAAGGAAGGAAGGAAGGACAATGTGGGTAGCACACTCATCTATCGTTATGTAATATCCGCTGACATGAGCCAGTGCGTGTGTTTATGTCCTGTTTCTGACATCTTTGGAAATGTTTTGTGGCCACAAGGTTTTGGTTAACATTAAGGAATTTCATTTGCGCCAGATTGAAGCAGGACTTTCCGAACCCAAACTTCTATACTTTAGTTATACACCGAAAAAAATGATCCTATTCAAGTTTCTTAAAGTTTTTAAATTAAAGTGATTCAAATAAAGAAAATACTCGCTCGAATGTAAAGTAAATACCTATTTTATTTATTTTATTCTATTTCGACACAGTCATCTGACAATTTTCAGTGATATTTTTTATTTGCGAAGCTTTCTTTAATTTTAAATTGGTTGTGGGGTGTCCCATTTCTTAAGAGGTACCCTCGGTGCGACAGGAAATTATCAATTAAATGACATCAAAGCGTCTTGATATTTAAATTTCCCTTTTCTGGCTAAGATACTGATTACCAGCGACCCTTAACCGCTGATGATATGCTGCAGGGAATGGATCTAAATGCAAGAAAAGAGCGTTTCGCCCTAATTCCAAGAAATTCTATTTTTAATTTTATATTATTTTACTGCTCAAGCTGTAGATATTAAAGGTCATATATTTGTATATCTGGGGGCTAAAAATCGAACAACATTTTAGTTGGCTCACAAACATGGTCAAATAACAAGCAGGACAGACCAAAACTTCTTTGTTATTTCTATACGTTGCCAACATATTATTTTTCCACAATTCTTTCATCTTTTTCATTTATGAATAATATTCGTAGAAAATATATATGCGCAATCCCTAAGGTGTATGTAAAATAAAATATTTTTAAAACGTAACTAGTCAGCTATGCAATTGTGGGTTTACATTCAACAATCTTTTAAGTCCCAGATTTCAATTTACACAAACAGCACACAAAAAAGTCATTCAAAATGGCGGAGTAAGTTTTTAATTTAAAATAAAAAAAACATTTAAAAATAAAACTTAACCTCGTGGATTTCTATTCGTAGCGCGGATAATAAATTAAGTGGCGGGCAAGCCATGAAGCGGTGCTGCGGTTTCCATTGGAGGGGTAAAGCCAGCATCTTAATACCCCTTATGACGCTGCCAATCTTGGTCTATGGAATCCTTGGTGGCGGGAAGGCATTTCTCTGCATGTATCTGGTTGTAAACATGGCACTTTTCTGGATAAGTGAAGCTATTCCCCTTTATTTGACGGCTATGTTTCCAGTTGTATTTTTGCCACTCTTCGGAATATTGGTAAGCAAGAGGTCATTATTGCATATCAAGCCTCAATATAAATCCAAATTAGGTATAGATTTTTCATGATGACAAAAATCTATGTATATACTATATACCAAGCTAATCCACAGCATACAATAGATTAAGTTTAACACATTATTTATTTATAAAACCTACTAAAAACGTATATAAATTATATTTCCTAAGCCCTCCGACAAGGTGTGTACTTTCTACTTCAGTGATACAGTGGTAATGTTTCTCGGTGGCTTGATAATAGCTTTAGCGATAGAGTATTGTAATCTACATCAGCGCATCGCCCTGACAGTCATACTTATAGTGGGTTGCAGTCCAAGGCGGTAAGTATTAGAATCGTTTCTGGTACCGAGAACAATACTGAATTTGTTACTTTAGATTGCATTTTGGCTTAACAATGGTCACTTGCTTTATATCGCTTTGGATATCCAATTCTGCGACTACTGCTATGATGTGTCCAATTGTAAAAGCCATACTAAACGAAATGGAATCGGTATGGAAAATATATTCATATTTATCATATGTATATTTTTGTAACTTGTCGATTTTTTTACTTTTCTAGTCAAACATTTTCGCAATTTACAAAACACAAGAAGAGGAACCCATGGAGGAAGGCGAGTAGGTGAAAAATGATTTTTTACATTAGCACGATTTAAGTTTGGATCTTTTACCATATCATTCTTAGCCCACCACATCCGTCGACAATCTCCATGAGCTTTTATTTTGCCGTTGCGTATGCCGCAACTATTGGCGGATGTGGAACTCTAATCGGAACCGGCACTAATTTGACCTACAAAGGTCTATACGAAACGTAAGTTCAATAAATTAAAAGTATATTTAAAATAGATTCATTGGTTCTTTCGCAGGCGATTTCCGGATTCCGAAGACAAAATTACCTTCCCCTTGTTCATGATGTATGCGCTTCCATTCGTTGTGGGCCTTTTAATATTCCTCGTCTGGTTTTCCCTCCAAATAACCCACATGGGCCTGTTCCGACCAAACAGCAAGGTGGGCCAGGAGGTGAAGAAAGGAGGTGAGGGACAGGAAGTGGTCAAAGCTGTGATCAGGGAACGGAAGAACGATCTGGGCAAGATGAGCTGCCATGAGATTCAGGTAGCCCTTCTATTCATCCTTATGGTTATATTGCTCTTTACTCGAGCCCCAGGATTCTTTCCCGGCTGGGGGGACTTTCTTAATGCAAAGTAAGATTCCAGAACTAGAATTTGTGTATATTTGTGACTTGTTTATTCATTAATTGTTACCACTAGGAAGATTGCTAGTAGCCCCCCAGTGTGGGCGTGCACTATTTTGCTTTTTGCACTTCCTACTCAGTACACATTCTTCAAGTACTGCTGTGGCAAGGCTCCCTTTCCAGGACAAACGTTGGATGCTTGCATGTCCTGGGTCTACAGCCACAAGAATACCCCTTTCGGCCTGTGCTTTTTACTGGGTATGTTTCAAGTTAAAAAACATAATAATAAATATATCAATTATACTTTAACCTTTGTAAAACTTATTTTTTTTCCTACGAATTACATATAAATATTTCTGTTCCTTTTCAAGGAGGAGGATTTGCCTTGGCGGAGGGCAGTCGGGTCAGCGGAATGGCAAAAATGCTGGGGGATTCTCTTGCCTTTGCCGCAAGTATGCCGGAAGTACTTGTGGTGGGGATGTGCATCCTTATTTCTCTATTCTGCACGGCGTTTGCCTCTAACGTGGCTATATGCAACATTCTGATCCCGATATTTTCAGAGATGGTAAGATTATGCATCCCAAAGATAAAAAATTAAAAAAAAGTTGACGGTTTTTTTTTTATTGGTCAACAGGCTCTTGCCATCAAGGTGCATCCGATCACAATAACGTTTCCAGCGGGATTGGCTTGCAGCTTGGCTTTCCATTTGCCTGTGAGCACTCCACCGAATGCTATTATCTCGGGCTATACCGGGATTAAGACCAAATATATGGCAATAGCCGGTATTCTGCCAACATTCTGCGCCTTTTGGTGCCTTCTTATAACTGGATCCGTGTGGACCCGGGTGATCTATCCACATTCAAAGACGTTCCCCACCTGGGCACAATAAGGATACATTTGTATATAAAGATGATATGGTTCGATAAGATCAAAATTTTCGGAAGACAAAATCAAAAGTGTAAATTGTAAATATGTTAATAACTACATACATACATATGTTAATTTTTTCGAGAACCTTTTTTCGAATTATGTTATAGTTGCAGCGGAAATAAAATTATTTATTGTTAAAGTCATTAAATATTTACATATATTGTTTCGTGTTTGGTGTGAGTGTTAAATTGGCTTTATAAAAATTTGTTATTCAGGTTTTATTCCATTATGCTTTCATGTCTGGCCTTCATTTGTTTCAATCCATGTCGAACTAAGCCCAATAATAGGAATGCCAATAAATATCTAACGCACAATTTGTGCCAATATGAACTATGACAAAGCTATTCAAAAGTACAAAAGCCTACTTAATGCTCACCGAGGGATAAAGGAGGGAAGTGCCATACTACAAATGGGCGTTCGAACTCACTTCACAGACAGTATTTTGGGACAGAGGGAAGACAAACTTTGTGCAAACACAGCAGGAAGTCCTTAGGTTGTTATTAAAGTACTTCGCCCGCTTTTCGGCTGGTACTTTACCTTGAATCATTTACATTCCCGTCGGCGGTGGGTCGAGATAAAATCAGGCAAAACACAATTACTCTCAGAAACTGAATTATATGGCCTTCGTGCGTGAATGATATGTTGAGGACAAGGTACCCCAAGAAGGCAGAAATCCCCAGCTGACATACGCATAAACAAATAACGTAAGCTTGCAGGCACACAAAAAGCAAATACCAATGTGAGCATATTCATGTTCAGGGGAAGAAACTCACCGAAATAAATGTAATAAAAGCCCAGACGGGCAGGACAAGTCCATACATACATACATAAGTAATCGAGACACGAATAAAAACACGCTTTTCAACACTGATTACTGTAAGGCATGTGGCAGCAACTTCATCAGCATCCTGGGGAACGAGGCAGGAACGTCAGAACGACGCCATTGGGAGGAGCCCGCCCAACCTAAGCCCGCCAAATGGGCGACAGAGCGGACAATTCAGAAGGCCACCCACCGAGCACCACCCACTTGCCACCACGCACCACCCACCGCCCATAATTCTTTGCGATTTCAGGGGATATACCGTGGTTAGGGAATAAAATAACAATGATGTTAGTCATTTATTTATGAACCAATAATAATGACTGATTTCAATAAACATAATTTTTATTGTACAGATTTTTACTACAATGAATATTTTGTGTGTCTGACTCGGCTACAAAATGAACCGAATAATTTATTTATGAATCAATAATAACGAGAGACATGAAAATGTGCGTGGAAAGGTATAGTACGTTTTTTTTCGATCAGACAACTTGAAATACTGTTGATTAAAAGTCATAAATAATTGAGCTTTTTTACATCAATATAAACAGGGTTGGAATGTAATTAAAGATAAATGATTTTAATGAAAAGAGGGGTTGAAAAGACCATTGGTGATTTATTAAAAATTTCTTTCAATAAAACTAGACTTACAACACTGTAAAATAATGTTCGAAATGAACTCAAGGGCTAGATGAACCTAAACCATTCTTCATCACTAAGATAATCGCAAGCAAACAACAATCACTGGCTAAAGACTTTGCTTTTCATCATATCTAATCAAGTTTATGGTTTTGAGAAAAAAAATACAATAATTTTTTTGCAAAAGAGTAAAAGCCGTAGCTTCGATCCCATCTGTCTCCATCCATCATCCTGCATTTTCCGTATCTACTCACCACTGTAATAATTGTTGTCCGAATAACCGTATTTGCCGGCTGTCCTGCCCCCGCCGGCCATCTTTCTTTATTGCTTTGTTTCCTTGTTACTTCGTGCCCCAGGCCAAGGTGGGCAAGGTTCTTGTTGCTAGTTGTTAGGGCTGTTGCTGCCACTCGAGCACCATAAAACACTCAAAGCTGAATGGCTTGCTGATCGGCTTTTGGTTGTGTTACAGTTCCTGCTGCTGTTGCTGATGTGGATGTTGCTGCGAGGAAAAGGGAGAGGAATGCAAATAAAATCAGAGTAAATCCAGGCCAGAATATTGTTAATGACCCTGTCAGAAGAATAATCAGGCTTGGGAATGAAGAAATTACATATTTCTGAGGCGGAAAGCGCTTAATTTAATAGGGGTACCCCTTGGAAAAAATTCTACAAATTTAAAAACTATATTTTAGGCATAAAATACCATTTTATAGGGGTACCCCTAGGAAAAAGTTCGAAAAATTTCAAAACTATATTTCAGCCATGTTTGGAATGAGGAAAGTTGCTTTTGGGTTCGCTGATTACAAAATGGTACTTTGTTTCCTGATCGGATGCGATTTGGCAGAGCTATGGCCATCGGAACGAACAAAAGTGGCGAAAGTAGGAAAACCCACCATTTTATGGGGGTACCCCTAGGAAAAAATTCGAAAAATTTCAAAACTATATTTCAGCCATGTTTGGAATGAGGGAAGTTTCTTCTGGGTTCGCTGATTACAAAATGGTACTTTGTTTCCTGATCGGATACGATTTGGCAGAGCTATGGCCATCGATACGAACAAAAATGGCGAAAGTGGGAAAACCCACCATTTTATGGGGGTACCCCTAGAAAAAAATTCGAAAAATTTCAAAACTATATTTTAGCCATGTTTGGAATGAGGAAAGTTGCTTCTGGGTTCGCTGATTACAAAATGGTACTTCGTTTCCTCATCGGATACGATTTGGCAGAGCTATGGCCATCGGAACGAACCAAAAAGGCGAAAGTAGGAAAACCCACCATTTTGTAGGGTTACCCCTAGGAAAAAATTCGAAAAATTTCAAAACTATATTTCAGCCGTGTTTGGAATGAGGAAAGTTGCTTCTGGGTTCGCTGATTACAAAATGGTACTTTGTTTCCTCATCGGATACGATTTGGCAGAGCTATGGCCATCGGAACGAACAAAAATGGCGAAAGTGGAAAAAACCCACCATTTTATGGGGGTACCCCTAGAAAAAAATTCGAAAAATTTCAAAACTATATTTTAGCCATGTTTGGAATGAGGAAAGTTGCTTCTGGGTTCGCTGATTACAAAATGGTACTTCGTTTCCTCATCGGATACGATTTGGCAGAGCTATGGCCATCGGAACGAACCAAAAAGGCGAAAGTAGGAAAACCCACCATTTTGTAGGGTTACCCCTAGGAAAAAATTCGAAAAATTTCAAAACTATATTTCAGCCGTGTTTGGAATGAGGAAAGTTGCTTCTGGGTTCGCTGATTACAAAATGGTACTTTGTTTCCCTCATCGGATACGATTTGGCAGAGCTATGCCCATCGGAACGAACCAAAAAGACGAAAGTAGGAAAACCCACCATTTTGTAGGGGTACCCCTAGGAAAAAATTCGAAAAATTTCAAAACTATATTTCAGCCATGTTTGGAATGAGGAAAGTTGCTTCTGGGTTCGCTGATTACAAAATGGTACTTTGTTTCCCTGATCGGATACGATTTGGCAGAGCTATGGCCATCGATACGAACAAAAATGGCGAAAGTAGGAAAACCCACCATTTTGTAGGGGTACCCCTAGGAAAAAATTCGAAAAATTTCAAAACTATATTTCAGCCATGTTTGGAATGAGGAAAGTTGCTTTTGGGTTCGCTGATTACAAAATGGTACTTTGTTTCCTGATCGGATGCGATTTGGCAGAGCTATGGCCATCGGAACGAACAAAAGTGGCGAAAGTAGGAAAACCCACCATTTTATGGGGGTACCCCTAGGAAAAAATTCGAAAAATTTCAAAACTATATTTCAGCCATGTTTGGAATGAGGGAAGTTTCTTCTGGGTTCGCTGATTACAAAATGGTACTTTGTTTCCTGATCGGATACGATTTGGCAGAGCTATGGCCATCGATACGAACAAAAATGGCGAAAGTGGGAAAACCCACCATTTTATGGGGGTACCCCTAGAAAAAATTCGAAAAATTTCAAAACTATATTTTAGCCATGTTTGGAATGAGGAAAGTTGCTTCTGGGTTCGCTGATTACAAAATGGTACTTCGTTTCCTCATCGGATACGATTTGGCAGAGCTATGGCCATCGGAACGAACAAAAATGGCGAAAGTGGAAAAAACCCACCATTTTATGGGGGTACCCCTAGAAAAAAATTCGAAAAATTTCAAAACTATATTTTAGCCATGTTTGGAATGAGGAAAGTTGCTTCTGGGTTCGCTGATTACAAAATGGTACTTCGTTTCCTCATCGGATACGATTTGGCAGAGCTATGGCCATCGGAACGAACCAAAAAGGCGAAAGTAGGAAAACCCACCATTTTGTAGGGTTACCCCTAGGAAAAAATTCGAAAAATTTCAAAACTATATTTCAGCCGTGTTTGGAATGAGGAAAGTTGCTTCTGGGTTCGCTGATTACAAAATGGTACTTTGTTTCCTCATCGGATACGATTTGGCAGAGCTATGGCCATCGGAACGAACAAAAATGGCGAAAGTGGAAAAAACCCACCATTTTATGGGGGTACCCCTAGAAAAAAATTCGAAAAATTTCAAAACTATATTTTAGCCATGTTTGGAATGAGGAAAGTTGCTTCTGGGTTCGCTGATTACAAAATGGTACTTCGTTTCCTCATCGGATACGATTTGGCAGAGCTATGGCCATCGGAACGAACCAAAAAGGCGAAAGTAGGAAAACCCACCATTTTGTAGGGTTACCCCTAGGAAAAAATTCGAAAAATTTCAAAACTATATTTCAGCCGTGTTTGGAATGAGGAAAGTTGCTTCTGGGTTCGCTGATTACAAAATGGTACTTTGTTTCCTCATCGGATACGATTTGGCAGAGCTATGCCCATCGGAACGAACCAAAAAGACGAAAGTAGGAAAACCCACCATTTTGTAGGGGTACCCCTAGGAAAAAATTCGAAAAATTTCAAAACTATATTTCAGCCATGTTTGGAATGAGGAAAGTTGCTTCTGGGTTCGCTGATTACAAAATGGTACTTTGTTTCCTGATCGGATACGATTTGGCAGAGCTATGGCCATCGATACGAACAAAAATGGCGAAAGTAGGAAAACCCACCATTTTGTAGGGGTACCCCTAGGAAAAAATTCGAAAAATTTCAAAACTATATTTCAGCCATGTTTGGAATGAGGAAAGTTGCTTTTGGGTTCGCTGATTACAAAATGGTACTTTGTTTCCTGATCGGATGCGATTTGGCAGAGCTATGGCCATCGGAACGAACAAAAATGGCGAAAGTGGAAAAAACCCACCATTTTATGGGGGTACCCCTAGAAAAAAATTCGAAAAATTTCAAAACTATATTTCAGCCATGTTTGGAATGAGGAAAGTTGCTTCTGGGTTCGCTGATTACAAAATGGTACTTTGTTTCCTCATCGGATACGACTTGGCAGAGCTATGGCAATCGGAAGAAACAAAAATGGCGAAAGTAAGAAAACCCACCATTTTGTAGGGGTACCCCTAGGAAAAAATTCGAAAAATTTCAAAACTATATTTCAGCCATGTTTGGAATGAGGAAAGTTGCTTCTGGGTTCGCTGATTACAAAATGGTACTTTGTTTCCTCATCGGATACGATTTGGCAGAGCTATGGCCATCGGAACGAACAAAAATGGCGAAAGTGGAAAAAACCCACCATTTTATGGGGGTACCCCTAGAAAAAAATTCGAAAAATTTCAAAACTATATTTTAGCCATGTTTGGAATGAGGGAAGTTGCTTCTGGGTTCGCTGATTACAAAATGGTACTTCGTTTCCTCATCGGATACGATTTGGCAGAGCTATGGCCATCGGAACGAACCAAAAAGGCGAAAGTAGGAAAACCCACCATTTTGTAGGGTTACCCCTAGGAAAAAATTCGAAAAATTTCAAAACTATATTTTAGCCATGTTTGGAATGAGGAAAGTTGCTTCTGGGTTGGCTGATTACAAAATGGTACTTTGTTTCCTGATCGGATACGATTTGGCAGAGCTATGGCCATCGGAACGAACAAAAATGGCGAAAGTAAGAAAACCCACCATTTTATGGGGGTACCCCTAGGAAAAAATTCGAAAAATTTCAAATATATATTTCAGCCATGTTTGGAATGGGGAAAGTTGCTTCTGGGTTCGCTGATTACAAAATGGTACTTTGTTTCCTCATCGGATACGACTTGGCAGAGCTATGGCAATCGGAAGAAACAAAAATGGCGAAAGTAAGAAAACCCACCATTTTGTAGGGGTACCCCTAGGAAAAAATTCGAAAAATTTCAAAACTATATTTCAGCCATGTTTGGAATGAGGAAAGTTGCTTCTGGGTTCGCTGATTACAAAATGGTACTTCGTTTCCTCATCGGATACGATTTGGCAGAGCTATGGCCATCGGAACGAACCAAAAAGGCGAAAGTAGGAAAACCCACCATTTTGTAGGGTTACCCCTAGGAAAAAATTCGAAAAATTTCAAAACTATATTTTAGCCATGTTTGGAATGAGGAAAGTTGCTTCTGGGTTGGCTGATTACAAAATGGTACTTTGTTTCCTGATCGGATACGATTTGGCAGAGCTATGGCCATCGGAACGAACAAAAATGGCGAAAGTAAGAAAACCCACCATTTTATGGGGGTACCCCTAGGAAAAAATTCGAAAAATTTCAAAACTATATTTCAGCCATGTTTGGAATGAGGAAAGTTGCTTCTGGGTTCGCTGATTACAAAATGGTATTTTGTTTCCTCATCGGGTACAATTTGGCAGAGCTATGGCCATCGATACGAAGAAAAATGGCGAAAGTAGGAAAACCCACCATTTTGTAGGGGTACCCCTAGGAAAAAATTCGAAAAATTTCAAAACTATATTTTAGCCATGTTTGGAATGAGGAAAGTTGCTTCTGGGTTCGCTTATTACAAAATGGTACTTTGTTTCCTCATCGGATACGATTTGGCAGAGCTATGGCCATCGGAACGAACAAAAATGGCGAAAGTGGGAAAACCCACCATTTAATGGGGGTACCCCTAGGAAAAAATTCGAAAAATTTCA